CTTAAAAACCATTGAATTGATTTGAATTTGAAAACGTTGTTAATTTGCAAAGTTGAAAAATCATTAAAACAAGGCTTGAGTCATCAAATTTGTAGCTTTAATCTCATCACCTTTACGTGATATATCAAAACTTATTCTTATTTGTCATTTAAATGAGTATGAGCAAATCAATTTAGTTTGAAGAGATAAAAAAAAGCTGAATAATTAATGAAGATTTTTTTTTTCTCTAAAAGCGTTATAATTTATGAGATGCCGCACACTTTATTGTCGATTGGTTGAAGTTTATTGTTGGATTGTAATTAAAATGTTTAACATGAGATTTAAAGATTTTTCTTTTTCGAGCGATAAATCATGTGAGCTTGACAACTTATTTTGTCGATTTATATAACGTGAAACTTAATTAATTAGAAAATTAAAGTTGAAATTTTCCATTTTATTTATTGCAAAGTCATATGCTTTGGTTTCAGCCATTCCAAATAAACATTTTGATGCGTCCATCAGGAATCATAAAGAGGCACCTTCATGCATAATTTATCGCATTCGTTTAGGTTCATAAACAACTAATAATAAAATATATGAAAGGATAATTCTTAATTTCATTACGGGCGTGTCAAATTCAAATCAATCAAAAAATTGCAACGCGAGAGAGAAATTTAATGTATTTACCGTGTATGAATGTGTGTAAATTATAAAGGAAAGAAAAATCATAAAACATAAATTTTTATAGCACATTTGTGACTTACCTTCGAAGCTTTATTTTCTAAAAAGAAATATTTCGATTACTTTTAAGTTCCCTATGCCGCCTGTAAAGTTTTATTTCTAGTGATTCCGATATGTATGTTTATGCTGTTTTTATGATGCGAAATCATGATAATATCAAATGTTTTGTTGCCAAGGCTTTTTGAGGTTAAATTATTTGATTGCGTATTCAAAAGGGGTAATTCGTAAGTTTTGAGAGTCAATTTAGCCCTTAAATCATTAATAATCAAGGAATAATCAAAATAACTTGATACTTAACTATTCACATTTGTCGGAACTCACCTTTGAGATGTTGAAAAAGGCTGAGAGCTAAATGTAATTCCATAATAGAACTGTCTGTGTGCAATTGCAAATAGGCAGATAGATTGATGCTAATGAAATCAATAATTACATTTTCGCGCAGAGAGCTGCTGTTAATGATTCCAAGTGCGAACATCAGCTATACATTATCTGTGATTAATATCGTCGATTTATTATTTTAATCAAGAATTATTTTAACGAGCTCAAAAATTATTTGAGATAATCAAGATTTTATTGCGAAAATTTTTAATAATATTTCTTTTTGTATAAGTAACTAAGTACATAGTTTCTAAACAGTTAAAGGTGAAAAAAAATTATTTCAATACGCAATAATTTGTAAAACGTGTGTAGCAATGTTACTTACTCTCATGATCATTAATATTTCTCTCACTCAATTGTATGTTCAAGTAGATTTCTTCACACACGGCAAAAAAAATACGAAATTCTATTCAACGAAAATTCATCATTTAATTTCAAAATAAAGAGTATGGAGAAAATGGAAAACAGTTCGATTGGTTAAATTGATGAATTTATCTGGCGCCTGTATATTCTCATAAAAATGATTATCCTATCTTTTTGTGCTGTGCTTAAGCATAATCATAAAAAATTCAAATGAAGTGAAATGTGGCCAAAAAAATATTATAGAGTCTTAATAACTATTAGAAATTGTAAAGAAATCTAATTTGTATGAATAATCATCAACATACAAATACACACAATTTTAATGGTCAATAAATACAATGGATGATACTGGATAGACATCATAATCCATTTAAATTTTTCACTGTGTCTATACATCGTATCTCAAAGTCATTAATTTATATCATGTATATCAAAATATATTCTTCTATTGAATGCGATTATTACACAACGCCTTTGGCCTGATCGCCTTTTTATAATATTTTTCCATAAGCGAACGAAATGGATTTAATAATAATCGTAATGAGCAATAAAAATTAAAACCATACACAAACATTGAAATATTTGTCATAATTAATCATTTGACTTGGCGATGGATGAACGTCGTTTATGTATATCTGATGTTGATACATAAACAGAAAGAAAAGGAATAAAAAAGACTTCAGAAAAGAAACGATTAATTTCATTTCAAGATTTTTCTTCTTTCTTTCTCTCTCTCTTACAAAATTTACCTTGATTTGATGGTACATAACGAATAATTTCATATACGCTAACTAATGTGTATCAAATAAATCTTATTATTGCTTCTCTACGACTTGATATTAAGTGTCTATGTATCTCCTTTTGTCTCTATAAATTCATAAAAATAATGAGAAGAGTGTTCAACTTTGAGTAGACTGTAATAAAGCGCATTTTATGCTGCTTGATTTTCAACTGTTTTCAAAATTTACACTAATATTTACTATTTTGGAAATATTGAAAATAATTTTGATGAAAACTGCTGTTTTAGAACAGAAATTTTGTTTATTTATGTCACAAATCTCTTTGCTCACACATTTTAAAGCTACTTCCATCCTTTAAACAACAAATAAACATTAATTGAGGCTAAATTTTGACATTAAACTTTTGAAGTGACAAAAATTGTATTTTCTTGCAAAATATTACAAATTTAGATACTTTTCAAGCCAAATAACAAATTCAATAATCAAAACCATTCCTTTAGCTTAAAAACTGCTCAAAAGAAAACATTTTATGCTTCTCAATTCATTTTCATTTTATTTCATGAAAAGAGGTTAATTCTTTTAGTTGTTGATTAAGTTCAAAAGTCATTTTTAAGAAATCTCAAATGAAAACTATCAAAAAAGTTGCGCGAGCATACTTTGTTCCATACTTAAAAGAGAAAGAAAGAAAAAAATTAATTTAACTTTTATTGCTTTTTTGTTTCTTTCGCTTGTTGCTCGATTGACTGACTTCGAAAGAGCATGAAAGCATTTTGAATATGAAAAGGAATTCATCATATGAGTTTATTACTTTTATGTGTGATGTGAACGGTGATATTGGGTGCGATATAGCGAGATGGAATTAATCTCTTTTTTTTTCCTCATCGCTTTTTTTTTGCCTTTTCGTTCAACAATAAAGTTCATCAATCAAAATCTCTTCTGACCCGTACTTCTCACACTGATTGTGGGCATGTGTGTACCACTCATTGCAAGGTCTCATATATGAGTACTATAAGTGATACTCATAATCACAGATAGGTATGAAATCCACCATCAACATTCTTTTTTTGTTTCATTTGCAATTCATAGAAGGACTAATTACAATAACCGCATTAAATTGATTTTTTAATTGTTTTTTTTTTCTTATTTCCATTACTGCTTTTTGAGATTCATGATTTGAGTTATTAGCATGGCTGTCTTCCTTAACTTACAAGAGTAAATGACATGTTTGGTTATTAATTTATTGGCTATTTTTCTTAAGTTGTGGCTTAAGACATTTAGTTAAGTGCATCTTTATGGACAGATTTGGTTTCGGGTGGGAAATCTTAAAATCTTGATCTAAGACATACCAACAGATTAAACACATTGCAAAATTGAATCTTCTTCAAGAATCTCATGCCTACTAGCTCCTTCTTATTCCTTAATAGCTATTTTCTTTAATACAGTTCATGCTTTTTCTTTCCATTGTTACACCATTATACAGAGCGTTAAAAGCACAGCATGCAGACTTTACTATCACTTAAAAGCAATGAAAATTAATTCTTTTACGATATTAAAGCTAAATTAGGAATATGATAGCTTTCGTTTTATCCATAAATATATTATTTTCATACAATAATTTTTTTTCAATTCTCATTTGAAGCACGTGTTTGCATCTAAGATAAGTGGGCAATTGAAAAATCTCTTCTTTCTGTCTTTCTCTTTTGTATCTCATCTACTATATATATACAATGTAAGCTAAAATGATTTTTTTTAGCAAGAAAGGAAACAACACCTTGAGTTCCATTGAAAAAAGTATTAAATGAGAGGATGGCAGAGAGCCTTTTGTGGAACATTGTTACCTACAATGAAGATCTCTTTCATTTTATAAAAATTTTCAAATCAAGTTGCGAACAATGTCGGCAATTTATTACATTCTTATTTTTCATGTTTCTTCCTTGTGATATTGAATTGATTTGCCAGGTATTTTTGTGAATGAATGTGTCTGTTTTGGGATCAGTTACTTCTAGAAAATTGAGATACTTCCGAAATGAGTCAGTTTTAATGGTTTGATTTGGGTTTTTTCGGTATGTTGTGGATACATTTTATTGTGGAAAGATAACAAAGGATTTTTTTATGCTGAACAAAAATCAATTTTGAAGCTGAATTCAGCCTTTTTTAACTTACTCAAACTGAATTCAGCAGTTTTCAAACTTAATATTCCATATGTTGTAAAGATTAATTCAAAAGAAGCAAAAACTATGGCTCATCAATCCACAAAATATTCACTCCAAATTCCACAATCAACAAACACACAAATTTAGACTCATCAGTAATTTTCATGGCAAAAAATGAAATACGTCTATCGTTTCTTTAATTTCTGCTTTAAATAACTATTCAAATTAAAATTGAGCTGTAAAGTGAATGAGTCGTTTTAGTGAAAAAATTAATATCCATTATTTGCATTTCTCACTCTTCAATTCTTCTTGTTAATAACTGTAATTTAGACACCGCAAAAATATTAATATTTTTTTTTTCATTTCTTTGTTCAAAATTTTATATGACCCGCATTGGAATTTTGAAAACAAAAAATTTTCTATTTGTACAAAATAATAATAATGAAAAAAAAAAATTAAATTCGTAAAAATATTTATCACAAATTCATAAATTAAACTTTCTATACATTACATTACGCACATATGAGTATGTAATGATTTTTTGTGGTTTTGATGAATTTATACGATGATAATTTATGTTCTTCATATTTTAACCCTTATAAATGCCGTATAATTAAAATACAAATTATCTTTTGTCTCATTACAGTTATATGAAATCAACGATGATCCAAAGCGTAAATTATTCCTTGATGATCTCTTTTTGTTCATGCAAAAGCGAGGTAAGTTGTTATGAATTGTGAAATTTACATTGACGTGTACATTTAATTTGCAATTAATGTAACATGAGATATAATGAAAACATGAAGGGTAGAAGAAAATAAGGAAACTCGGGGTATGCCAATAAGTCAGCTAGCTAGATCTTGATATTAATTTCTGCAACTTGAACAAAACTTAAATTTTCAAAAAATAACTTTAGTGGTTTTTGAAAATTTTAATAATATAATAAAAAATTCATATTTGCACACCCCTGAAATTAGCAAATAATATTTATGTGTGAGATCTTACTACTGACATGAAATAAGAGAAATTAATTGCACTAAATTAATACAATTTTCATCAAGATGGAACATATATATAAATGCATGATGTACATGTGAAAAATTTAAATATTTAATGCTGACTGATCGCACATCACATCACTCAGACAGTAGTAAGAAAATACTCAACGAATTAATTACAAATTATCTCATGTATTCTAAATAAATGGTGATTTACTTCAATGATATTAATAGACATTTGCTGCACATATGCGATATGTCTCATGTATATTGAATATTTTATAAAAATAATATTAAACACCAGCTAAAATCAATCTAATGATTTTGTTTTAAAGAAATATAAGGAAAAATCGATCAAGATTTTCTAAATGGATTTTCAATATACCTAAACGTAAATACATCCACGATTCTATAAAATAAAATTAAACCGAAATGCATGAGTAACATCAGACATTATTCAGCGAGAAAATGATGATTAAAACTAAAACATATGTTTGACATCAAATGTCGTTCGCTTTAGAAGAAAAACAACGTCGTGAATACATTTAGTGAAAGAATAACTTCATCTTTTATTCGATTAACGATTGACTTCAATCGTCATTTTAATAATAATAATACTCGTTGAGATGTGCCTTAAAATAATAACAGGATTGCGAATGTACATTGAAATATTAATTTACAGAAGTTTAATGAGAGATTTTATACATATTGTATTCGACTAAAGAGTATTTTGATTGAACTGAGGATTGTTGTTTGTTAAAAATATAACGACTAAAATAAATTTGAATTTTCATAACATTTTAAAAATACGTTAAATTTTTAACTTTCATGAGTTGTTAAAAAATTAGCTCCTGAATTGATATAAAAATGATTTTCCCTTCCAAGGTTTGTAAATGTCACTATAAATTCGTGACAGGATGCAATTGAAGAATTTATCATAAAATAAATGAAAGCAAATATTTGAAAACTTCAGATTTCATTGAAAAAAGCATTTAAAAAGCTGAATTTATGATTCATATATAGTGTCTGTCCATGCCCTTCATTAGTAATAATTTTTGAGTTTTTACTGTAGTTTTTTTACCACTTAGTACAGCCATTTTTACTACTATTTATTTCCTGACTTTCATGTCATAAATAAATCTGTCTGCTAGCGGTGCAAAACAAATGAAATGAAATGCTATTAATTTGCTTTTAAATGACATCTTATGCGCTGTGACATGGATACTTTGTAGCTTGAAAATTGCACTCAGAGCATTAATTCAAAAATAATATGAAAATTGTTGTTCAATTTATGGCGACATCGTGAATGAAATGAAATAAAATTAAAAGAAATTTCGTTCGTGAGAAATATTTAAATATTTGTTTGCTAACTTATTGGATTTTACTCTTGAATTGCCTTTGTCGCTGCCTGTTCTCTTATGTACACAGCAATAATAAAAAATTCTTGGAAAATCGCCTTTAAACTTAATTAAATATCCGTCAAATGCATTCAATTTATGAACAAATTCTTTTTTTGGGATCGTGCGTTTTTGATAATTTTTCATATTTCATGCCTTATTCCCTTCTCATTGCTATGTGCTGTGTATTGTGTATTGTGTTTCGAATTATAAATGGTAATTAATTGGAACATTGATTTTCTGTTCGATTTAATTGAATTTTATCGACAAATGAAATATTATAAAAATTTAATTTAAAATTTTCATCGACTCTAGTGCTGTATAGCTTAAAATTTTATTATTTATTTAATTAACGTTCCATATCGGGTGAATTAATTCTTGAGAAAATTATTTCATAAGGCGAATAATTTTCCATAAAATTGACATTGAAATTTTTATTTTTCTATAGAAGTTCTCATTCAACCTTGAAAACTGATTTTCAAATCCTTTAGAGTGTGCTGGGTTTTATTGTTTTTTATGTGATTTTATTCTTACTTCAAGCAATTATTTTAATTATTTTTACATCACGCAAAGGCGTCAGTCATATTATTTAAAGAGACTTGTAAGGAGATTATGTGACACATTTTATTGATCAATAAATTAGTTGCTGGATGTTGGATCAGTCATATTTCCTCAGTTAGAGCTAGGTAACTGAGACATTGTTCTTTCATTAGGCTAAGTCTCTTAATATTAGATTTTATATGTAACTGCTCCTGGATCTGTAACACATAAAATATCTGCAGATGAAATTATAACTCTAAAACATCAATTTTACGCCAAAATTCGGTTTTAAGCTACAATCCTTATCCCCAATGAAGGCTTCTGTTCTTAAAAAAAAAATATTTGCTAATAATTCTTTAAGTTGCACAATAGCTTAACATTCATTCCATTTGACAGAAAGACACTCTCAATTACACGTCTTTTTTTATGAAGCCATCCCAAGGCACAATAAATTGCATCACACGACGAAAGAAATGTAAAACAAGAGAAAGAGAAAATACAATAAATAATAATTTATCGGAATCACACATATAACGATCGCACCTAATAAATATCAATATGATTAAAATTCAATTTAAAGTAACATAAACTCAATTTGCTTTATAAATTTATTACAAATGGAAAATCACGCAATTACAGCGCAACTTGATGCATGTCTGCAATTTTTGTGGCGAAGAAGAGAAGGGAATTTACTTGCGGCTTTATCTTTCGTGAAAAATCTTGATCCGAAGATCGAGTTTGTAAATTTCTCATGTCCATACAAATAGCACTGAATAATTCAATAACAGGATGAAAACTTTAAATGTAACATGACACCGCAATTTAATTCTGCTTAGTTATATGGACATGCGTACACAAGAAAAACATGTGTGCTTCTGCTTCTTAAATATTCATCTCTAATTGCGTTTGAAATGTAATTTGACTTTTATTTTACACATTTCATTTCGGCTACTTAAATTATACCTTAAAAGTTTATGTTTGAAAATTTCTCTGCTGTTTTGTAAATAAATTCAAAGCAATGCTAAGCAGCAGTGTTAAAAGGGGGCAAAGAAAGATTTTTTATAAATAAAAAATGAACAGATAGAAACAAATCATCAAATTTCAATAATTTTTTTTTTGATGAATTCTCAATCTATTGAAGAGATCAATCAACACCGTTTGAATTGAAACACATGAGAGCAATCGTTTGATATTAATTCCTATATGTACACATGTATACATACAATTTTCGGCATGTGTGTAAACGAACATATCATTTCTCGATTTAAAGCAATTATTTTATTGTGTTTACTGATCTTTTATTCATGCTCCCTCTCTCTCACTCAATTCTTTTTCATTTCTGGATGATTTTTAAACATAGTTAAGAAGACTGAGATTCAGTGAAAAGTGTTTGGAGATGATGATGATTACCCAGCGGCGTAGCATACTTTTTTCCATCACTTACATTTATATCGCTAGCCTATCAATCAACTACAACAATGGAATGAACATTTCGATTTATTGCATCATATTTTTAGCATCAAACGCGCGATTAATTTATGACTTCTCTTTTATTCTACAATTTTTAATCTCTTTCTCTGTTGTTTTGAATTAAGAGTCAAGAAGAACTGAGATGAAAATGTGTTTTACAATATGAATGATGTGTCAGTGCCTTTTGGGTATTCTGAGCACATTTAATGTCTTTTTTTTCCATCTCATCAATTCCATTTTCCCTCAATCACTCACTCATTTAGTTACTCACTTCGTTCTTCATATTAAATTTCATACCACATCAAAGGGATAAAGTATGAATTAATTATAGACTGATTGAGGGTTTGGAGCGTATTTGATAGAACTGATTGTCAATTAATTTCACTATATTCACACATTTCTGCAACTATTAAAGTGCATGCTTTAGCTCAAAACTTTAAAAAGCAATCAATCAGCTACCTAATAAAGTCTAGAGAACTATAATTATTACGTCCGAATGTTATGTCAGATCAGTCCAATCAAGTCGATTTCAAATGTAAACCCACATCTCAATCTCACATGAATGAAGAGATAAAGTAGAAGAAATATTAATCGACACGGAGAAATGACTTGATGAAAACTTTATTCCATTTATAAACTAAACATCATCAAATTTTTCGTAAATTATCATAATTAAATTTAACAGTTTATCTCCCAAAAACAATATTTTGTTCAAAAATAAAATTCGTCTGTTTAAAACTTGTTGCTTTTATGACTTTTTAATTTAGTTTAGATCAATTTTTATATCCATGAATTTTTTTTTCATCTATCTCTCACTTCGCTCATTACCTCTTTAAATGTTTTTGCAATGAAAATTGCCGGGAAATAAACAAACTCGAAGATTTTGTAATCAATTTATTGATTTAAACATTTCTTTCCACCTTCTTTTAATTGCTGGGATGATGGAGATGTTATAGGAAGGAATTAAAAATGATTTTCAAACTTTAATTAACTTACCTGCCTGCGAATTAGAAGAAAATTAAATTAATTTATCTGTAATGGATAGGAGTTGGTGGAGTGTTGATATTTTAAATTTGCAAGTTTGATTTTCGCAGATTTTAAATATAATTCATCAGACTATAGGCAAACAAAAGATTGAGATGAATTTATAGATAATATGAATATTAAGATTAGGATTGAATAAATGCTGTGAGCTGAAATTGTATCACTTTACTTATTTGTTAAAAAGTTTAAGGATTTTCTTGAAGATTCCATTCTTGACTCATTTAAAAGCAATAAGCAACCTACAAAAAAAAAGCATGCTGAAAGCAGCACTCACGACTCTATAAAAAAAATTTGTTTTTTGTTGTTTGTTATGAAGAACATTTTCACAACATTGAATGTTTAGACGTAAACTTCAAAAACATCATTTTTGAGTACAGAAAATTATCACAAACATTTAAGAAGAAAACTCAAAAATTTAAATACAAATAGACAATAAATCAAAAGTTTACCAAGAGATAAATTTTTGAAACAAATAAAAAATTATACAAACATTTACTGCAAGTTCTTGCTTTCATTAAATCATACACAAAAAAAAATATACCTGAAATATTTTTATTGCACAAAGAAAGCAATTGAATATCTTTTTTCGGTAAAATAGAAAGAAAGGAAGTGAAATTTCTCTTTTTATAACATATTTATTCTTAGAAGGATAATACAATATTTATGATCGATTGAGAAATTTTTGGGGTAATAAAACAATTATCCTGGATGTAACAATGAGTAATTTAGGAATGAGCAATTTCTGGCAATTTTATTTCGTCTTGGAAAATTTTGAGATTTTTTGTTTCATTTGTCACGTAAAGTTTGCTTGCATATAATTTGTTCAGATTACAGATTTTGAAAAAGTTTCAAATGAGATCAGCACTAAACAATCAATTTAACAGTTAATACACTGAATTCAGCTTCAGACTAGTAAAACTAAGCATCAAACAGTGCTGAATTCAGCGCCTAATCTACTGTCCTCATTCACTTAACCTTTTCATTAATTATTTAAACTCAGCACATGTCTTAAGATTCTTTTATCATCATTAATGCACATCATGAACTTGTTGAAATTAAACAATTCATCAATACTTGAATAATATGTGTAAAAAAATATCATAGCAGCAAGTCTTAATGAAATGCTGTTTAGACACATAAAAAGAAGAAGTTGAGCGTGATGAATTTTTTTCAAGAGACTGTAAATCTCTTTAGAAATACTTGATTTAATGGATTATATCTAAGTAATAATATAAAAGTATGAGAATTAATCAACAACAATCCCTACAATCAATTACTCACTTGATCGATCGAATTGTGTTGATCTGTGATCAGCATGAAGCAAAAAAGATTAATGAATAATGATGCAGAATCCAATTATTACTTTTTGATATACAAATGTACAGCATGATTAAATCTTTTTTTTATTAATTTTATTTCTCTTTTCTTCTCATTCCAGGAACTCCAATAAATCGACTTCCAATCATGGCAAAATCAGTTCTTGATTTATATGAACTTTATAACTTGGTGATAGCTAGAGGTGGTCTTGTTGATGTAATTAATAAGAAATTATGGCAGGAAATAATTAAAGGATTACATTTACCCTCGAGCATCACAAGCGCTGCATTTACTCTAAGAACACAGTAAGTATACATTTTGTGCTTAATTTTTTAATTTACTAGGTTTTTATTTTTATCCGCGACTCATCATAAAGTTAATTGATAAATTGTTTTCAACAATAAAATGCCGCCTGCAAGCGTTGCAATATACTTGAAAAATATATAATTATTAATTTATGGCGAATTGTGCTTGTTCACAATAAATCATAATACTTTTTCCATTACTTTTTACCTAGATATAATAACTAAAATACAATGTTGATACTTAATGAAATAATTAAACGTGACATCGAATATTGAAATTTGTGGCTCATTGTTTGTACTTTTTATTTTATAAAGCTTCTTTTTAAATTGTACATCGTAGGAATGTTGCATTTTATTTTCTTATTAAGCGTTTCCCAGTCAGCTAGGTGCTTTGATTAGTGCATAATGTCATGTAAAAATAGGGATTTGACTGTTTCGTCCAGTGCCTGGGATTTTTGATGAGGCAATTATAGTCCAGACCCTAGTAGTGACTATAAGTTAAGAAACTCTCTGTTAGGTTCTTGATTGAATCTTCTACAAGTTCCCTCCCACAAACATTTTTGGAAAAGAGTGTTTTGAGTCAGAAAACTTTATCAAGTTTAAATCTAAAGGTGACCAAAATCACAAACAAAGGCACCTCCTTACAAAGCAGAAAACTGTAACTTCCTTACTTGACACTTTTAACTTGCCATTGTGCGCCTGCAAAAAAAAAGTAATTTTTTACATTTACTTATTTCAATTCAACATTGTGGTTTGCATCACACAGGCACAGGGAGAAGTAAGAGTGAGAGTGAGAAAAGAGCATTGCGATGTGGAGGATCATTAATTGAAAAACAAGAATTACTGAAACGTGTAGCATCGCTAAAGCAATAAAATTTGTGCTTAAGCTTTTAAAATGATTGAATTGTGTAAATATAAATATAAACTATATAGTGAGGAGATGAATGCGCAAGTGCAATTGATTTTCTTCAAATATAGTCTGCATAAGGGCGGTCAATGTTGTTTCTTTTCCGATTCTTCATCCATAAAATCATTATTGTTATTGTATTGCAAAATATTTTTATTGATCACTGTCTATAATGCCACAATGTTGATGTTCCTTTATGCCATCATCGTTTCACCATTTGTTTCAGACCAGCCCTTTTCCTCCTCTCTCTTTTTTTATACCTATCAATTTAATCACGTAAACATAAAGGAAATTATTTTTAATTACAAATGTTTATATGCATACATCAGCATTCAATCTATTGGGCATTCATTAGACATGAGAGAGAATAACAACAAAATAAAAAAAAAATTGTTAAACATAATAAAATGATGAAGTTCATCATTGATTGCTCTTGAATGAAAATGAATGAATGAAGGTATGCTCAGGTTTTCCGTCTTCTTATGATGCATTTCCATCCAATGAAAAGATATAAAAACATAAAATAATATTATTTTTATGAATGATTTATTGACCAAATACCGCCCATACATCAAAGGCATTTAATTTTGTATTCCTTCATTTCATTTTGACGTTGGGTACATATAGCAATATGCCTTTTTTTTTGCGGACTGATACAGAATTCAGCTCGTTTTTTTATTACTACACCACCGATGCAAGAATGATGAATTTCATGATCATTTTTTTAATGCTTCAAGATTTCATGTTGGCTACAACAAAATGCGCATAAATTTGATTGGAAAATGCAAATCAAAATCACATAAAATTTGTCTGAATATTAAAATTAAAAGACTTGACTCTCTTCTTGTTTTTCCTTTTCTTTCGTCCATCAGCCAGCCGCAGAAGACTAAGGAATTTTTTTAAAATTTTATTACTCACTCATTCGATTGTTATGAACAAAAAATAATGCTGCATAAGGAATGAAGAAGGAACAAAAAAAAATATAAATTCATGCTTATAAATGCGGTGTATCGAATGATAAAAAATTGTTAAAGAGAGTTAATGCTTTCTGTACACAAAATTTAAGCTTCAATGTACCTCCATGATTGGAGTTTTTTTTTTGGATTTGTGGCTGCTTTTAAGGTTACCTCAGTTGAACTGGAAGCTAAATGCAAGTGAGGACTTGGATATCTTCTTGTAATATCGGCAGGGAATCAAACCCATGTTTTTAAAAACGATAAAGTTGCTGATTTCTGCTTAGTTGTCAAGCCTTACTCTCTCTTTTATTGGCGTGACATTGATTTCATACTACTTTATAGCTACAAGAATGGTATTGTCATTCTGAATCGTATATGATTTCCCTTAAATCTCAGAATTCCTATATTTTTCGTTTACCCTTCCTTAAAATTACCATTATCTTCTCAATTGACTTTAATGATGTCGAAATTCCAAATCGACTTGCATTCTTAACTTGTTCCTTCATTCATTCATGGAAGAAATCTCTCTCATTCATTATATAATGTCTGATATTAATATCATGATGATTATCATCATTGTTTATTTATATTTATTTACATAAATTCATGAATAAATCACTCACTCAAGGTGTTCTCATCTTCCCGACACATTTCAATTCAAATTTTTATTCTTCTTTCATGTAATTCCGATTCTTTGTGATGCCAATTTGTCTGGCGAGATGCGAAATGCGAGTTTAAGATCAAAGAATCAGCACCCACGTGCGTGTAGATTATATTAATTTTATTAATAAGTATTTTTTTTTTCATTTATTTCTAGGTACATGAAATATTTGTATCCATATGAATGTGAGAAAAAGAGTTTAAGTACACCGGCTGAACTGCAGGCTGCAATTGATGGCAACAGACGTGAAGGCCGTCGTACAAGCTATGGACAGTTTGAATCACAAATGCAACAGCAGCTACAATTGGTAATTATTTGACTCTATACTTAAAATTGTCTGTCAATATTAATGCTATAATTATGCTCTACAGCCACAACTCCAAAGGTCGCCGATACCAAACAGTCTCCAGCAAATGTCACCTTTATCACTTGTGACACATGCACAACAGAATTCTCACCATAGACTGATGGGAGCACCAGGCGTTGTTGGTCAACTTCCAAGTATAGTTCCACATGATATTGAGCAGCGAATGCTTGAATACATTAAATTATTCCAAGCACCAAAAGATTTGAAACGTAAGTTTGATGAAGCGATTCTTGAACAGCATTTGACTAAGCAGTATTTACAATCACTTGCAGGCCCACAAAGCCCAGATGTTTCAAGGGAAGCATTAAATGCTTTGGAAATGTCGAGAATGGCATTATGGAATATGTATAACAATACAAGTCCACATAATCAGCACAATAACCCTAGTCCACCAGAAGTACAACAAGAAGCACTGAATTTACATCAACGAGAATCTCCATCTCCAATTCCATCAGCTCCATCACCAATATCTATAAAACGCGAACGTGATCTTCATGATTTAAATGACTATCCACCAGCAAAACGAGGCTTAATTCGATCAAATAGTGATCTCAATAGGAAGTCATCAATCACTAATAACAACAATAATAAATATGATCATCACATTGGCAGCAACAACAATAATTCTCAAGTGACACCTATAAAAGACAATAGCAATAAGAAACGATCAGAATCACCTTCATTGACATCACAGCAAATTCAAAACAATGAGAATGGAACTCATCACCTTCAGTCGCCTGTACGACATCACAATAAACAGAATGGTCTTGATTCCATTGGCACGACAATATTAAATGGAATGCAATTCAAAATTGTCAGTAAAGGTATGTAGTCATGATACATCCTTCATTTATGAGAAGTTATTTAATAAAATTTGTTCCTCCTTTTATTCTAGAAAACTCATCGACTGGAGAGCCACAGTTGGTTGTGAAATTGGAAGTAAATGGAATATTGTTTGAGGGTGTCCTCTTTCCAAATCCATCAAACTCATCGCCAGCATCTGCATCAACAACTCCCTCAACGGAACCAATGATATCGCCAGTCAAGCATTCGTCACCGAATCGGAACTCATTAAATGATGACCACAAGTTAACGCAACAAATGGTCTCGTCATCATAAACATAAGCATAAGCATTTGTTTGATTCCAATTAGATCAGATTTATCAACAAAAAATAAATAAGAAAAGATTTAAGCTGAATTTTTCTAGAATTAAGTTTTGCTTTTTATTCTCTTAAAAAAAATTTATTAACAAAAAAAATTATGGACAAAGGATTGATTTTTAAATAGTGATTTAATAAGGCATGGAATAGAATCACATAAAAATTGTTCCAATTAAGTGCAAGATATATTAATTCACATTTTAAGACATATTTGATGCAAGATAAATTTTATAGAGCATAAATGATTAAGATGAACAGATTCACTGAATTTATATGTTAATAGATTGAGACACACACACACACACACATACACATAATTAAATAGCATAAATTTAATGTCATATTGTAGGCAATTAAGGACATAATCTAACATAAATGTGCATAAAATCAGTGTTAAAGCTTCCTCAGAATTTTAAATTGTCACAAATTCCTCTTCATATAATGTGTATAACGCAGTAAATTTTATGCATAAACGTCACATAGAAGATGCTGTAGCAGTATTTTTCATCAACCTTCTCATTAAAATGTTTGCAATGAAAGAAGAAATTTAATGAAAACCTTTTCATTATTGTTATGTTTTTTTTTTTTAAAATAACTTTAATTAATAAGAATTGAATAATTTAACTGATAAGAAAGATATGGAATTAAATCAATAAATTAAATTAGTGAAATTCACATTTTCTTCCCTTCTAATTGTTGACCACGTGTTTGAATGCATTTTTGTAACGTATTTTTTAATTTTAAAATTATTTTCAGAGGTTTCAAAACATCATTCATTCATATTTATTTGGAGTGATAAGAAGTGTGGATTTTTTTTCTGTGATAAAAAATTATTTAAAACGACAAAAGTATAGGTTTAATTAATAATTAGTAGGATTAATTGTGTTTGTGGATCAAAGACAAACTTTATAAGATGTCACAACTACAAAATTCATTGGAAATTGTTCTAAAAAGACTTGAAACTGAAAAAAATGATGTGAAATCTGAAACTAAGGAAAAATTCAAAGCTATTATTGATCATTTAAACTCTAAGAAGGCAAACGAGCTTCTTAGAAACAAGACATACGAACTGCTTGATAAAATCAAGATTCTGAGAGAACAAGTTGAAATTAAGGAATCTGAAAAAATTGAATATGAAGAAGGTGATTTAAAGGCATCAAACGACTATGCTGATCAATTAAGGAGAGATCTTAAAAAGTTGGAACGCCAGATGACTGATAAGCAAACGATTGTAATTGAGACTTATACTCAATCGGAAGCAGTCATCGGTCAATTATTAAAGTATAAGAAGAAACTCGCTGAAATTCCAGCAATTAAAGAAGCAGATCGAATTAAGGCTGAAACATCATTAGAAAATAAAACATTAAATTTGAGTGCTGTGAAGCAAGCTATAAAGGAACATCATGAACAAGAAAAAGTCTCATTGGCTAATATAGCAGACACTGAGGCAAAAATCAACGAAGTATTGGCACAATCTGAACAAATGACAAACTTAATTATTGTTGAGAATACATTGTCTGATAAAATTATGCAATATAAGGAACAGATCATTCCTGAAATTGCTAATGAAATTGAAAAGGTCACGATGAATATCTCAAATGCTAAAAAGACTATTGATGAAAAGAATCAAGTCAAAAACAATGCTATTAAAGCATTTGAAGACCTAAAGGCTAAATTAAAATTTGAGAAGGAAAAGAATATATCTTTACATGACAAACTGCAGAACATTCTTAAATTAAAGAATGACATTATTTGTAAGAAAGTCTCGTCAAAGGATATTGATGAGAATCCTAATCTGAAGAAACTGACACTTAATAAGGAGTACAAGAAACAAAAGGATAAGATACATAAGCTGACAACAGACAAATCTCAAATTTCCAAAGATGTCAATGATGCTACAACCGCTAAAGTTGAATCGGAAAAGGCCCTGGATAAATTGAAGGAAGAGATGAAGAAAATCAAAGAAATATCACAAACGAAAAGAGATGAAATCATGTCACTAGAAAATGATATTCAAGGCAAGGAAGCTGAACTTCGATCATTAAATAACGAAAATTTGGAAATGGAAAAAATCATTGCAACACATGATAAAGAAAAGGAATTGATTGAGTCAAACATTGCTGAACTAACTGCAAAATTAAAGGAACTACAAAAGAAATTGACTTCCGATCAAAACTATCGTCATTCTAATCAAAAAGATCCATTTAAGGAATCTCAGTTAAAAGCAATCGATATGAAGGTATCGATTAATAATAACAAGAATAATGTCCATAAATGGCTGACTGGTCTTCCTCAAAAATTCACTAAAAATAACACAGCATCAGATATTTTATCACAAAACAGCACAGTTCAGCCTGAAGATTCCATGTTGAATATTTCAAACCTCATACAAATCCAATCGAATGACTCAACCCATGAAAATATCATATTTAACGTGGACATTGAGGATCCAGAAGTTATTGATGCAAACGTAAGTTATAAGGCAATAATCCTTAACAATTTTAATGCTTAATTTATATGTTTTAAGATGGATTGCTCATTTTCGGAAATGAATAGCAGTGACATTGCACTAGATGAGTCGTTCTTAAATAAAGATTAATTTCTTTAAAAATCCCTTTCAATCATGTCGAGGATCTAGTCATACATGACATTATTAAATTTAATTTTTGTATCGCAATTCGAAAAGATTTTTGTTAGAAACATTAGAAGGAAGCAATAAAATATATTGATATTATTAGAACACATTTGGGGCTTTTATAACTTAATAGCTATCAAGGATGCACATTTGAATTAAAGTTTTCAACGTATTTTTAAAATTTGAATGACAGGTATAAATTATTCATCATTCACTATGAATTGTTCGACTAAAATCGCTTAATAAGCATTGTCACTCGTGTTTCTTATATGATTTCCAGTCATGACTCAATAAAGTAAATCCTTTAATACTCGGAAACCCTGAAATTTTTTGATATAGTTAAATAATTGTTATTTAAAATTTTGAAAAACACGACTTACGTAGAAAGCCACGAACTTCCACGCTTGACTTACATTAGATAACAAAAAAGTTGTCAAATAACAATATTATCTTAAAGTACTATGTTTCGTCAATTTTTTTTAAGATGAGAAATCTAATAAAATATCAAATCTTTAAGTCGTTGACAGATGCTTTCAATGTCTGTGAAAGGATACTTTTGATAAGAGTCAGAGTGAAGTGGAGCACAGCTCGTCCACTCCCCTTCCTACATCTAAGACTCCCATCAGAAGTATCCTTTCACAAAAATTGAAAAGTAACAAACATCTCAAACTGAATTTTAAGTAAAGGAGCCAGGAAAATATAATTAAATATTAAAACTCTAATATCTTTAGAATATTTTTCATTTGCGAAAGCTATGTTATCATCTCGAGAACTTCAAAAAAATTAAACCTTCAGATAATTTAAGTTTTATTTTCAAAATCCAAAAAGGCGTTTTTTGGCTTTTTGAAGGCATGGATGATGTCCAATTGTAAAAGTTAATGTACAGAAAAATCCGGCCTCCTAAGGGCAATTCTTTGGATGAGTGGAATTTGAAAAAAATGAGCTTTCATAATCCAATGTCAATGAGTTTTGTGTCAATAAAATGTTTTCTTTAATTTCATATTACTATGAAGGAATAATAAGCCAGAACTTTCGTAGATCATTAAGCATAATTAATTCCTTACAAGTGATCTATTGAAATGTTACAACTCACCCAAATTAAGTGAAAAATTGAAAAAATATGTTTGAAAATTTTGTATTTTTTCACGGATTAAGACAAAAAAAAGCTTTTTTATAACTCGATGACACAAGGAAATTTTTCAAAGAATTGAAATATTTCAATAATTAATGATTTACAGCATATGGAAAAGCAACTTAATTAAAGATTTTTGCCTGATCTATAACTCAGTAAAAGTTATTCAATGTGGATATCAATAGTTTTCTCTAATTTTCGATTCTTTGGATGATGAAAATTGAAAATTCCGATTTCTGTCATCGAGTTATTGTCTGAAGAATCCAAATAACTTAATTAATATAGCGATTAGAAGTATATGATATCAAAAGTAGTGTTCATTTTAGATTTTTACATCGATAAGAATCATAAAATCAGTGTCTCTGATGGGAAAAATCAATAAAATTTCGATTTTTTGCTGAAAATTTTCCAAAAGTCATCCAAAGAATTGCCCCTAATACACACATTTTGGTACCCTTTGAGATTTTTGAAAATGAGTCATTCAGGCTATATTAAAAACAGTGTGTTTTTCGTGAAACTAATAACTTACACGCTTTTGCGTGGAAGTTAAAATGCTTAAATTGCATTTTAAAAACATATCTAGGTATTATAAATGATAAAGAATGCTAATATAGATATAAAATCGATATTTTTTTGAAAAAAGCCTACTATGATCGAAACCAAAAATGCTTTAAATTGCATTTGAAAACATATCTAGGAATTATAAATGATAAATAATGCTAATATAGATATAAAATCAATATTTTTTTTGAAAATAGCCTACTATGATCGAAACCAAAAATGCTTTAAATTGCATTTGAAAACATATCTAGGAATTATAAATGATAAATAATGCTAATATAGATATAAAATCAATATTTTTTTTGAAAATAGCCTACTATGATCGAAACCAAAAATGCTTTAAATTGTATTTTAAAACATATCTGGGTATTATAAATGATAAAGAATGCTAATATAGATATAAAATCGATATTTTTTTTTTTTGAAAATAGCCTACTATGATCGAAACCAAAAATGCTTTAAATTGCATTTGAAAACATATCTAGGAATTATAAATGATAAATAATGCTAATATAGATATAAAATCAATATTTTTTTTGAAAATAGCCTACTATGATCGAAACCAAAAATGCTTTAAATTGTATTTTAAAACATATCTGGGTATTATAAATGATAAAGAATGCTAATGTAGATATAAAATCGATATTTTTTTTTTTGAAAATAGCCTACTATGATCGAAACCAAAAATGCTTTAAATTGCATTTGAAAACATATCTAGGTATCATAAATGATAAACAATGCTAATATAGATATAAAATCAATATTTTTTTTTGAAAATAGCCTACTATGATCGAAACCAAAAATGCTTTAAATTGCATTTGAAAACATATCTAGGTATTATAAATGATAAAGAATGCGAATATAGATATAAAATCGATATTTTTTTTGAAAATAGCCTACTATGATCAAAATCAAAAATGCTTTAAATTGCATTTTAAAACATATCTAGGTATTATAAATGATGAATAATGCTAATATAGATATAAAATCGATATTTTTTTGAAAATAGCCTACTATGATCGAAATCAAAAATGCTTTAAATTGCATTTTAAAACATATCTAGGTATTATAAATGATAAAGAATGCGAATATAGATATAAAATCGATATTTTTTTGAAAATAGCCTACTATGATCAAAATCAAAAATGCTTAAAATTGCATTTTAAAACATATCTAGGTATTATAAATGATAAAGAATGCTAATATAGATATAAAATCGATATTTTTTTTGAAAATAGCCTACTATGATCGAAATCAAAAATGCTTTAAATTGCATTTTAAAACATATCTAGGTATTATAAATGATAAAGAATGCGAATATAGATATAAAATCGATATTTTTTTGAAAATAGCCTACTATGATCAAAATCAAAAATGCTTAAAATTGCATTTTAAAACATATCTAGGTATTATAAATGATGAATAATGCTAATATAGATATAAAATCGATATTTTTTTGAAAATAGCCTACTATGATGGAAATCAAAAATGCTTTAAATTGCATTTTAAAACATATCTAGGTATTATAAATGATAAAGAATGCGAATATAGATATAAAATCGATATTTTTTTGAAAATAGCCTACTATGATGGAAATCAAAAATGCTTTAAATTGCATTTTAAAACATATCTAGGTATTATAAATGATAAAGAATGCGAATATAGATATAAAATCGATATTTTTTTTGAAAATAGCCTACTATGATGGAAATCAAAAATGCTTTAAATTGCATTTTAAAACATATCTAGGTATTATAAATGATAAAGAATGCTAATATAGATATAAAATCGATATTTTTTTGAAAATAGCCTACTATGATCAAAATCAAAAATGCTTAAAATTGCATTTTAAAACATATCTAGGTATTATAAATGATGAATAATGCTAATATAGATATAAAATCGATATTTTTTTGAAAATAGCCTACTATGATCGAAACCAAAAATGCTTTAAATTGCATTTTAAAACATATCTGGGTATTATAAATGATTAAGAATGCTAATATAGATATAAAATCGATATTTTTTTTGAAAATAGCCTACTATGATCGAATCCAAAAATGCTTTAAATTGCATTTTAAAACATATCTAGGTATTATAAATGATCAAGAATGCTAATATAGATATAAAATCGATTTTGTCGATTTTCAAGAGGCTATAGCAAGTCATGGTAAAGTCAAAATATTGTCATTTGGGGTATTTTTGTAAAGCTCTCTCAAAATGACCATTTTTCCTAGGTTTTCCAACTTTGACAGCTTCAAAACTACTGAAAAGTTGAGAATTTCGAAAAATGACTTTCGATCCCCCTAATTGCTTATTTTGTGTTATCTTTATGTTAGATGAAATTGAAACCTCTCGAAGTTTGCGTTAATGGTTTAAGTTTTCTTATAAACCCACTATACAACGATTGATCATAAAGTGTTGACACTTTTAACTTTTTTTTTTCTTCTCAGCTCTTTTTCAGTTAAAATGGTTAAAATTCATTTTAATTATGTTAAGCTAGTATTTATGAATACAATTTTAGTATTTTAAATGCTCACTTATTAAGTTAATTAATATTTTTACATTTCAATAATGAAACCACTAAAAACGAGGTTTAAAGTCCAATTTTTTTGAACTTAGTTCAAAATTTGAGCTTAGCTCAAAAATTTGAACTTAGCTCAAAAATTTGAACTTTAAATGCTTTAATTTTTTCTCACTGTTATTGCTATAATTTGTTTTATTTCATTGCTTTTTAAGCTATTTTCAAAGAGCTTCATACTGGTTCAGCTCGCGCTATTTTGATAACTCAGCGATACTCATATTCCTAATATCTAAGACATTGTCAAGCAGTGCCCTAAAAAGCCAAACATAATATTAGGTACAAAAAAAGCAGGGGACTTAATTTTTAATAGTTGAAATTTCATCAAAATAAGCTGAAAAAGGAGATTAATTTTTGTGTAGACCATTCAATTTAAATACATTTATAAACTGTATTTGTTTTGCATAATATCGTTGTCCAATAGATGAATTATCATAACAGTCGAGTTATTAAAGTGTAACACTCCCCTCATAAAAATAAACAAATTTTGCCGACTATTCATAGTAAAATCATTAATTATGGCAGAATGGGATGAACCAATAAGAAAAAAAGGATTTATTCTTAATTTTCAAACAAAAAAGCTTCAGGAAGTTCACGATAAGCACATTGTAAGTCACAATCATCTACAAATATAATTCATTATTGATTTTTCATTTCAAATTTATTTTAAGATTGAAGCACCAAGATCAGTCGATTGCTATGAAAAGCTTAATACTCTTGGACAGGGAACATACGGGATTGTTTATAGAGTACGTGATAAATTGACAAGCAAAGAATATGCATTGAAGAAAGTTAAAGTAGATAAAGATTTATTCAGAGATGGTTTTCCAGTCAGTTGCTTACGTGAAATATCCATTTTAAAGACCTGCTGTCATCCAAATGTTGTCAAACTGAAAGAAGTAGTAGTTGGAAAGGAACTAGAGAAAATTTATCTAGTCATGGAATACTGTGAGCAGGATTTAGCTAGCTTACTCGATAATCTGGAAAAGCCATTTACAGAATCTGAAGTTAAATGCATAATCATTCAGCTCCTTCGTGGTCTTCAATATCTACATGACAATTTCATAATCCATCGTGACATAAAAGTAAGTAATTTATTATTAACAGACGAAGGATGTCTTAAGATTGCTGATTTTGGACTTGCTCGAACGTTTGCTGTTCCTTCAAAATCCATGACTCCTAATTTGGTCACATTATGGTATAGACCTCCAGAATTACTCTTAGGATCAACTCATCACACGACTGCGGTTGATATGTGGGCTGCTGGATGTAAGAAGCTATTCAGCTTTGAATAACTTTTTCTTAATAACTTTTATATACTTTTGCAGGTATATTGGGAGAACTGTTATTGAATAAGCCATTACTTCCAGGAAAAGGAGAAATAGCACAGTTGGAGTTAATAATTGAATTGCTTGGAACTCCATCAGAAAACATTTGGCCAGGATTCTCACAACTTCCAGCAATACAAAACTTCACATTAAGAGCTCAGCCATACAACAATCTGAAGACTAAATTTCCAACTTTGTCACAAGCTGGATTAAGACTCCTTAACTTTTTATTTATGTACGATCCAAAGAAGAGAGCAACTGCTTTGGAAAGTCTCGAGTCAAATTATTTTAAAGAACCACCACTACCTTGTAATCCTACATTTATTCCATCATTTCCTCAGCATAGAAATTTTAAAAATGCTCCATCTTCGTCGTCATCTAAGAATGAGCATAGCAGTCGAAGCTCATCAAAGCATAAAATATCTGAAATGCTTGAAAATTTAAAAAGGAAACGATTCGATTAAATTCTGTAATCTAAGTTTATTACAAACATTCTATTACAAATAAACGTAATTATTTTACAAATAAGGTCTATCCATTATTGTCTTCTTAGCTTTCTTATCTCTTGATCTTGGAAACCATCGGTGCTTAGTAGTAAATGTCATTTTACTCAAATTCTCTCGGACTAAATCTGGATATGAATGTTTATGAGCCTTCATCGCATGATCCAATATCTCATCCTTGACTAAAGAACTGCTTAATTCCATCTCAAAAGTTGGTAGAGCTTTTGTACATTCATATGGAATTTCTTTTTTTGGATGCCAAGCAATAAACGATTGCTGATCCTTTGATTCTGCAATTGATTCGACTAGTGCTCTACATCTTACCGGTGTTTCTGATGGATATACCTTGAAATTTGACAGCTTAGTAGAGAAGCTTCTTTGAACTGCACGGAACATGTTAATATTTTTTTTTTGATTTAAAAGCTAACCTTTTCTTAGCAATTGAGTTTTGTTCTTGTCACATTGTCCAGTATTTTACACGCTTTTATTTAACTCACACTGCAGTGTATATTTGCGTAAAATCTTGTAATCGATTTTTCGATCAATTCTTTTAAAAATTATTTGACTGTTTTAAAATTAACTGTTGTATGGTTTTCAAGCATTTTAAAATGATTTTTGATATTCATAGTCTGTCACGTGCGCGATGTCCATCAACATTAAAAGTAGGCAGTTCTGTACCAGTTTTACGACATCTAGCGACGAAAATGGCAAGTACAATTGTTTACCTTAATTTTTATAAACAATAAGCAATAATTTAACAACAGAAATTTTCACAATTCTAAAACTTAAATTAATGTAGTGAATAAGACGAAAATTGACTGTTAAATAGAATGGGACTAGTTGCTGTACATACAGGAGCTGGGAACTTTGTGAATGAAGATAATTATAAGATCCTATGCAAGAGATCTTCAAAAAAGGCATGCGACTTACTTGATTCCGGGAATGGGACAGTACTTGACGCAGTGGAACTAGCAATAAAGATTATGGAAGATAATCCCAACACAAATGCTGGTTATGGATCGAATCTCACGTGGGATGGACGTATAGAATGTGAAGCTGGAATAATGGACAGCATTACCTCAAACTTTGGAGCCTGTACATGCCTAAATGATGTCAAAAATCCAATTTCTTTAGCCAGAAAGATCTGTGATAAACAATCGTCTCTTTTTCAATTCGGAAGGCTGCCTCCTATGATTGTATCCAGTAATGGAGCTTCTGTTCTCGCCAAAGAATTCGGCCTTGAAATTATCAATGAGAGTGAACTGATCTCAAGAAAAGCTCAAAATACCTACAATTATTACCGACGGAAAATTACAGAGTATGAGCAATCAAATGCTATACAAATCTCTCGATTAGATACTGTTGGAGCTATAGCCGTCGACGACTATGGAAATGTTGCTTGTGGATGTTCATCTGGGGGCATTCTATTAAAATTGCCTGGTCGAGTTGGTCAAACTGCTTCATTTGGTAATATGCTTAATTAATAATTTTATCGTATGATTTGATATTTATGCTGTATTCATTTTCAGGTGCAGGCTGCTGGAGTCAGAAGATTAATAATCAATCATTAGGCTGTGTTACAACAGGAAATGGAGAATATATCATGAAAACGCTTTTAGCTAGAGAAATTTGTGTGAATTTAATCAACAACGAATGTCCAACAACTAAACTGTACCAAGTATTTAACGAAAAGTTTCTCAAATCTCCAATGTTACCAAGAAATCAGGAAAAATATGCAGGATGCCTTGTTGTTGACTATAATTCTGATACGAAACGTGGTGAACTTTTATGGGCACATACAACAAAAATGCTCTGCCTTGGCTATAAAGCATCAAAACAAAAATCTAAATTCATTTCCTCTTCCTTACCAGATCAAACAGGTGCAGGACACAAAGTAATTGTTGGCGGAATATCCTTTTAATTTTGTCATTATTATTATTATTATTTTTTTCATCATGACAACTAAAAACGAACAAGTATTAATTAAATTTACCAATTATTCTAAGAGTGATTCTATGTAGTCAATAAATAATGAACTCGTTTTAAAACTCGCATTTCATAACAATAAATTGATGCCATTTTATTTTATTTTACAAAAGAAAAACTTAATTAAACTTGTATTTTGCATAAAACTAATAATAATAACTTCAAAATTAAATAATCAATTTCTTTTTTACTTCTTTCCTCGTCGCTTCTTCTCTGTTACTGACTTTTCTGCTAATTCTGAATCTAAAATGGGAAATTGTTTATTATTTTGCAACAGACAAAAATTTAAATTTTTTGACATCAAAACACAGTTCATACAAAAATAAACAGCTGTATAAGCCACAGCTGTAATTTCCAAATTTTTTGAAAGTCGATTTTTTAATAGGCACTCGTATTTTACGTATAAATATGTCTTTAATTTACAGCTGTAAATTTTACTATTATACGTCATCTGGAAATTACAGCTGTTTATTGTTGTATTTTTTTAATTGAATATGCGGTTTTTTTGAGCCAGCCAGGAGCCAGCTTTAATTTAGTGCTAAAAAGTATTGAGTCTTACCCCCTTCCTCATGAATCACCGACAATAAATGCTTCTTTAATGGACTTTTGGATTTCCTCGACTGTTTTGATGCAATACTGGACGTTTCAGAATCTTGATTAGTTGCACGTTTTGGTAATTTACGTTTTCGGCTTGTTCTGGATGTCGTGCTGTCACTTTTTACGCTGTCATTATCGGAATCATCTTCCCGTGTTGAATTTAAATCTGATTTTGTAGGACGAAGCCTTGCAGGCGATTGAATTGGTTCATTAGACATTTTCTCAGCCAATAGACGTGATTTTTCAAGAACCCCCAATTGTGATCGTGTCAAACGTCGATTACTTGTATTAAGTTCATCAATTGGACTAGCTGAAGGAATTGGTGAGATTTTACTGGATGATATTGGAGTCTCCTTCTTTTTTGACGATGTTGATCTTGTTGACATAGCTTCACTTTTTGTAGATTTATTATCGTCATGTTCATCATCTGAAGCTCCAGATGCTTTTTTTCTGCCCCTACCTTTTTTTGGCACTTCCTCTGGTGTCTTTTCTTCAACTTGAGACGATGATACAACATTATCACCACCAAAACTATCTCTAGATGCACCACGAGTGAATATTCTACGAGGCGTTGTTGGAGTGGCTGTAGAGCGTCTTCGTGGTGTTTTTTTACCTGATTCTACTTCTTCTGATGGAGCTCTTGATTGTGGTGTTGTCTCACGACTAATTTGTTCATTTAATAATCTTGATTTCGTCCTTGTAAGCATTCCACTGCTTGGACTTTCTTCAATTCTTTCCAACATCTTTTCTTTTAATAATACTTTTGGATTATGTCGATTTTCAGATGATGCACGAGACGATCGTGATATCGGAGAGGAAGTGCCACTACTTGGAACTGAAACTGCACGTTTAATTCTAGTATTCTCTTCTGTAGTTTCTGTAGACTTTAAACGAGTAGAACGTCTTTTTGGTGTTGATAAATCCACTGGAACACTCTGTGACTGTTCTGGGCTTTTGTTTGCAGTCATTATTTCCTCAATTTCTCTATCATTATCATCTTGTTGACTTTTATTGTCACTTGCTTGCTTCTCAACTTGAGCTTCCTTTACTTTATTATCATCATTTTGGGTCTCATTAATTTTAGCAACATCCAAAATGTTTTCAGTGACATTATTTTCGGTTTGCTCAAGATTCTCTTCAGCTGTTACCATTTTCTCGGAAATGTCACTTTCAAATAAAGCAACTTCCAATGGATTTGTTACTTCATGTTCAGTAATTTGTAAAGTTTCATCTTGTGTCATTTCCGGATCATTTTCCATTACAATAGCTTTATCAAGCACATTGCTACTTTCAGTCACTTCCAGGTTGTCATTAGTTCCTTCCAGATCTTTATTTGATACTTCCAGTGTCTGTTCTTCGAATTTTTGTGGATTTTCAATTGTTTCCATGTCTTGTTGTTCCACAATCGCTAAATTATGATTATTCTCTTCGATATTAGACTGACCTTCGTCCATTATTTCCATAGTTTCGTCGACAATTTCCATTTCCTGTTCTTCGACAATTATAAGTTGATGCTCTTCGTCATCTACTAAAGTATCATCAACAGTTGTGATTATTGCTGCATCATTTAATTCATTTTGTGCGCTGGCAAACGAATAATCTTCAGACATTTCAGAAACATCTTGTTTACTCTCTGTTGATAACATAATCTCAATTTTCTCTTGATTATTGGTTTCTAATTCAATCGGGATTATTCTTTCTAAAGGTTTTTCTTCTGTCATGACTTGTTGCTGTTCAGGTTTCTCATTTTTATCAGCAATCGATTCTTTTGAAACTTTTTGTTCAATTTTTGGAATTAAAACATTTTCTGGCTGTGTAAATTGAACTTCCTGAACTAAAAGTTCATCACTTTCTGATTGAATGACTGCATTTGGAGCTATTTCAATCAATTGAATGTCCTCAAAAGGTTCATTTTCTTCATTTTGTGGATTAATTGCTTTCTCTTGAACATCAGCAGTAACTTCAATCTCGTAACTTCCACTTTCAATATTCTCGGACGATTTCTGAGGTGAAATTTGTTCAAATGAAGGAGATTTAATTTCATTAACAGCGTTTTGTTGCTCAATGTCATCATACAGGATGTCAATCATTTGTTCCTGGCTTGCCATTGGTTGTGATTGTTCATTATTATCAGCTGTAGCTAGTTCCAAAATCTCTCTTCGTTCTTCATTCGAGGATTCAATAATATTTTCAACGTTTTTTGGATTTCTAGCATTAAATGATGGAATTTTCGGTGAATTGCTTTCGATTTGGACATCATCGTCATCAGAATCAGGAATTTCAATAATTTCATTTGCGTTTGGCATTATTGAACTTTCATCTGACTCATCAGAATCGTCTAAATCAATATTTCCGTAATCATCACTATCTTGTTCAGAGTCATCATCATAATCGCTATGTTCTGGCAGTTCCACTTCCTCGAAATGTTCATCTTCTGCTATATCCTCGTCATCATCACTTGACTTTAAAATGCTTTTTCTCGGCGGTTCCAATATAGAACTATCTGCACTTGAATCACTATAACTTGGATTATCAGGCAACACAGATTTTCTAACAAACTTATAAATTGAATCTTCTTGTGTCTTATCTTCCTCACTTTCACTGCTGTCTATATCATATGATGATTTTAAGACACTATCTCTCTGGAAAGGATCTATTTCTGTCGACTCATCTAATTGCTGTTCAAATGTAGTTGATTGTGCTGTAATTCCAGCATCCTTAATCATGTCATCTTCATCACTTTCTGGAATATTATCCATTTCCATTTTCTCTTCATATATTGGTTGTATTGTAATTTCAAAATTATCTATAAAATAATAGAAATTTAATTAATGTGCTGTACAGACTATTAAAGACCCAAAGATTTACAAACTTAAAATAATTGAAATATAACGGTCAACAAATATTTGAAATATAACAGATAATTTCTTTTTGAATGCTTATGCTTACTTTCTTGTGATGGCTGATCACTGGGTGTTGTAGATCTAGACTTAATTGGTGGACGTGCTTTCGGGCCACTAGAAATTGTTGATGTTGAGGAAATAGCAATAACATCAGATGATTTTGTGGGTGAAATATTGGATGTTGAAAAAATTGGATTAATTTTTGGCGATTTTTCTGGTGAGAAAAATTCTGCAGACGATTCAAGCTGCTGTTCGCCGAATGACTCATCCAAATATGACGAATCTTGTAAATTTTCTGCAAAAGTAATTGATTTAACCGATTTATTGTCATCAAATTCACTAAATCGACTTGGAGAACTTCGACATGAACGTGTTTTAAGGATAGAAGCAGGTGTAGTAGCTCGTTCAGGAAAACTTTTCTGTGGTGTTCTTTTTTCAATTATTGGAGTTTTTAATAAGTCACCAAAAAGTGCGACACGATCAGGCGTTACTCTAGATGATGTGCTTGGTGTTCTGGATGTAAAATTTAATTTTGGTCGTCGATTTCTAAAGTGTGGCAGCAGACTGATTCTCTTATCAACAAAACTTTTAGGCTTCTTTGCATCAATTACATCCTCAAGTCGTCGACGTTTCTTTCTAGGTCCTTCAAAATCTTCTAATATGAATATTCCACTAGTATTATCCTTGAGCCTTTTTCCATTGTCATTAAATTCCATTGGATATGAAGCTTCTTGCATTTCAACTATTGGCTGTTTATATTCAAATATTCCTAATTTTGGACTTCCAATAAATGGCATTTCTTTGAGCTCTTGAATTGTATCATAAGTTGCTTCCGTTATGGACTGTACGCATTTTTTGTAAATATCGTTTGTTGCATTACATCGTGACTTGATTAAATTGACACTTAATGGTGATGGAATATCCTTAACTTGAACTTGATTATCAGAATAAACCATTGATGTTAATTTCCTAGTTGTTGGTTCCATTGTTGAATAATAAGCATTAAGAACTTGTTTTGGCGGTTCCAAATTAATGGTTGTGCTGATATCAAACGAGTCCATTAATGTTGCAGCATCAATAAATTTAGAGCGTTGTAAAAGATAGACAAAATGTAAATTTACACAATTTGACAAGTCTGTATTTTGAAGATAATCTCTGAGCACTTTTCCTTCATCTTCAGTCAATGCTAGATCCAATAGCTGCTCATAGTTTGATGAATGAAGAATTTTATGAAACAGCTTTTCTAGTAAACTTCTATCGCCACTTGCACGTTGAATCTTTAATGCTTCACTAATTAAATTATTACTCAATAATGTCGACACTTCTAATTCCGATGAAATTGGATTTCCAGGACACCGTAATGCTCTTAATGCTAAACTATTTGCATTTTGTTTCAATAGTGCTCCAATTAATAATTCTCGTTGCCATTTGGGAAGGTATCGATCATGCGATAATGGAGAAATTAATTCTTCAACAGCAGTTTCCAATTGTCCATTATCGAGATTCCAAAATGCTTGTGTCCTCTTGATGACCGATGGATTCATCTTAAAAACTGCTGGAAATTTAATTAAATTCCTTACAATATTGGAATAAGATGTCTCATTCAAGACATTAGTTATGTCCATAAAGAGATATATAAAAATGACATATTTATTCTCAATTGGTATGTCAGGAACGAGCAATGAACGAAGAAGTGATTGAATAGATTTAGGTGGATAAAAGGAACTCCAATCAAGCAAATCATATCCACTACATTCGTTCTCAATAAATGCGTCAATAAACAAATATTTTGCAGGCTTATGTTCCTGATTTTCTGCGTCATTTAATTTTGATCTCTGATTAGCGTAGTGAGAATTAATGGATCGATAAGGATAAGGAACAATAACAAAGTCATTTTCGTCATCAATTTCTTTTTTCTTATTATGATGTCCTTCGGGCAATAATCCAACATTAAGAAGCCATTGAAGTACTTCTTGATAATCTGATGCCATTTTCACTGTATTTGCTTGTGTATTAATTTGTATGAGAATGTCTGCCGGAATATATTTTTGATAATCTTTTGCAATCATTTGAAGTAATTCAGATAAAATTTTCAATTGCTTGCAACACAAAGAAAGTTGCTTCTGTGTTCCACAATCAATTCTTTGTTCACTAAAATCAAAGAGTGGCTGACACAATTGATTACAAACTTCCTTAATAGCTCGTACTCGATTCCAAATCCATTCTGTTAATGTTGATAATCCAATGCCAACATTTTCGTCTTTTCCTAAATAACTGCCATCTGCCCATGCCCAAGCACATTTCTTCAAGAATCCAGTAAAGTTGTATTCTAGTGCTACTGATAAAAGAAATTCTCGTTTCAAGTCCTGTAAATGAAAAAAACGAACTTAATATTTTTGAAATTTCAACGGGATTTGAAAATTCAACATGAACTGAAGAGAGTTGAAATTGGGTTACTGAACGACATCTTTTTCCAAATTATAAATGACAGTTATAAGTGAAAAATATTTAATTAAACATTAAACACTTACCAAAGGAGTTGCGATTCCGAAGTTAACGTCATAAAATTGTGGAGTAATTGCAACTTGAATTAATTCATTAAAATAGTAGCTCGGTTCCAAAATAATTTGTGGACCAATATTGTTAAATTGCTGCAGGACTAAATTCTGAATTCCGTTCCATCGATAATGAGCAAATTTGTTAGTTTCCAGTACGATAATATCAAAATTCAATGAATTTGGATAAAAATGCTCTTCTGGTCGCATTATAGAATTAAATGGTAATAAAGATTTTTCGTTTAGAATCACATCTAATGACATATTGGGCAATTCAAAGACTACAGCATATTTTAATGGATTTCTCCAGTCACCAACATTTGGCATTTCCTCTTTATACCATTGATTCAAGTCAAAAACCATAATATGAGTAAGATTTTTTGTTGGTGATGTCCATGCTAATAGACTTATTGTAAGCACATCCTCTTCATCTTGCGATAAAGTTTTTGAAATTGATCGACAACAAATAGGGAACGTGTCTTTATAAAATACAGGCATAGTAAGTCTCACACTACACGATCTAAAGTTTTCATAGAATCCATTAACTCTATTCTCAAACATTATTGAATGCATTACAGCAATTCCACCATCTTTTGATGAATGAAATGTCCAGACATAGACAGCACTTCTGGGATCATCAGCTGGCTCAATATAGCTCATATGTGTTAGGGGTGATCGATTTGCTGGAGGATGAGCTAAATGGAAGGCTTGCAAATCAATTAGATCGTATAAAATCATTCGTCCATCATCTAATCCAACAGCAAGCATATTCAAATTAGGCATGCAGAGCATCGTAATTATTGCTCCAGTTTCTTCCAGTACTTGCTTTAATTGTATAGAAAAGAAGCATCTTTCTCCAGTTTCTCTATTACTGACAATTTTATTATGATGGTGATTTATTTGCATTTGATCAAGTTCCGCTGACACATTTGTCATTGGGAATATTTCACAATCATAACTTGGCGATAATATTATTTCTGTAAATTTATTAAATTTTATATGGACTGTGCTAATAAGGACATAAATATTATTTACCTTTAATATCTTTGGGTATCATTAAGTCAACAAGGAATAATTTTCCTTGATCTGTTCCGATAGCTAATGTTCCATGAAATTGTCTCAAGACACTTCGTCTGCATGCATCACGTTCTATATATTTACAGCAAGTAATTCTTTCGCACATATCCATCGAGCCTAAAAGTTTGCATCCTTGTACGCAAAATAGACAGACCATTCCAGCTCTGGCTGCATTATTTATGAATTCAATGCTGACTGCTAATATACAAATTCCGGGCAAGTAGTTTATTTCTTCTACATAATTAATTATACATCCTTCGATCCTGTAAGTCATAAATGAGGTTAAATGTTGACATTTTGCAATTTAATTAAACTATATTTACCCGTGATGCTTTGCGAAATTACAATAAGCGATTTCTACGCCTGTATCTGTAGAGACTATTCGAAGAATAGCGTCAAATGCTATCCAGGAGAACTTTCCACTTTGTAAAAAGCCAGCAAGTTTATCTGAAAATTTCACAAAGTCAAAAAATTACACTTTGTTTAAGACTCTTTCAAACTATTAATTATATCTACCTGCTTCTTGATCTTTAAACGACTCATTTAGACTACTTCTAATGTTTATATTCTTAAATAAAGTAAGTTTTTCTGAAATAATATTTGCCGTCATTTTTTTTTTGTTGTTTATATTTTTTGAGCGGACTGATTTCGACTGAAATTGAGTTTAAAAGTTACGATGCTCTCAATGTCTACAGCGCTTCTGTTGTGCAATTCACAAATGTAACGGCTTTTTAAAATTTGAATTTTTAAGTAACATTCAGTATATAACTGCACGCCGAACCAATAACAACGCTCTGATCAAAAAATATCTAATTAAGCTATATTATCGACTATAATATCATCAGTGTACCGTAAAATTGACAATAATGGTTCTATCAACTGCAATTTCATCAATAAAACAAGTTAAAGCTGCTAAAATGGACAACAATTTAAGAAATTATCGAACAAAAGTCATCGAACGTGATTGGAGATATTTTACTTGGAAAGGCATTAAGAAAAATTATGCTGTATTGCCTCTCGTCTTTATTATTTTCGGATCTATAACTGGAATGTGTGCATTTATTGCTTACTCATCAAAAACTCGCGTAGATGTAAGCTTTAATCGATCAAATCCACGGCTATGTGAATCAATGGATGTTATGAATCCTGAAATCAACAAAATGCACGTCATTAATCAAAAGTACAATGCTAATCCAGAATTGAAAGCAGCTTTAGATGCAATCAAGGATTATTGAGGAGGCAATTGTTTAATTTTAATTTATATTTCCTTGATCTCATTTATAAATTTATAGGCAAATCAATGCTCCTTACAAGTTCACATCTCAATTCTCGAAGAAATAAACTAAAGATTTAAAAAAACAATATCCTATTAATTTAATTAAATTTATGTCTAAGCCTTCTTTAAAAGATCCAGTGACATGGTCAGTCAGACATAATAAAGACACGACTCAGTAAAGTGGTTAGCTCTGAAATTCGACACTCGACAACAAAAACATCAAAACATCCGGAATTTCATTAATTTTGTCATTAACATTTTTGAGCATTTCGTTAGTTTAAAAAGGTATCAAGATGGGTAAAGGATTCAATAACTATATGAGCAAGAAGTTCTTTCATCCAGCATCTCGAGATAATCTCAAAAGAGTAAGTAAATTAATAAAACTTTAAACGTACATTATGAAATACTCTATTTAACAATATTCTATAGGTTTGGATGGCAGAACAGCAAGAAGAAGCATATAAAAAGAAGCAAGAAGAGCTCAGAGCTCAGTATGAGAAGGAACAGAATTTACATGAAAATAAACTGATGTTAAGTAAAGAATCAAAGGATAAATTGGCTTTAAACTTTATGTATGAGCCACCGCCAGGAACTAAGAAGGAACGAGAGAAGGAAACTGATGAGCCTGAATATAAATTTGAATGGCAAAGGAAATACAATGCACCAAGAGAGAGTTATTGTAAAGGAAATGAAGAAATCCGAGATCAACCGTTTGGAATTCAGGTCCGTAATGTTAGATGTATCAAGTGCCACAAATATGGACATATTAATACAGACAAGGAATGTGCACTTTTCAGCATGTCAATGAGTGAAGCCAAAAAATATCATTCAGAACAAGAAGCTCAGCAGTTATTAGCAAAAGGTGGCTTTGAAGAGGAATTAAAGGAAGGCATGAAAGAGGATGGATTAGTGCTTAAAAGAAATGCATTAAGTCTAGAACAACAGCAAGTTCCGACCAGTCGACATCAATTGATTCCAGAAGAAGAAGACATTATTCCAGAAGCTGAATTTATTAAAAATCTTAGTAAGAAACAAAAAAAGGAACTACTTAAACGTCTTGAACTTATTGAGATGAAGCATAAGAAAAAATCAGATACTTCTAATGACGAATCAACACATAAAAAGAAAAAGTCGTCAAAAAATAAGAAGAAAAAGCATCGAGATGAAAGTTCCAGTGACGATGATAGAAAGAAACACAAGAAACATAAACGTGACAAGGAAAAAGTTACATATGTGCCAGTGCCTGTACCTGTAGCAGTTCCAGTCAATTTTGATCGCTACTCAGACAATAATAATTATAGAAGTGAAAGACGTCGATCAAGATCCAGAGATCGCAATTATCAGCACAAAGATGATAATAGATCCAGAGATCGAAATTTTAAGAACAAGAATGAACGACGCAGTCGATCAAAGGAAGAAAGACGCAGACGAAGCAAGTCCAAGGAATACAGGAAAAGATATAGCCGATCCAGATCATAAATTTTATTCCACATTTTCAACGGTCTGAAGAAATTTGAAAAATAAAAAAATACGAGATCTCGTGCATGACAGACACGGATTAAAAATAATATTTTGATATAAATTTTTGATTTTAAACATTTTTTTAAGAATTAATCATCAAAAACGAGTGTAAATGTATTATAATTAAGAGATTTTAGCCGTTGAATAGATAAGTGATTAATGTTAGAAAGAAGGGACATCAAATGTGACCTAAAATGAATACAAACGCTGATCAAATCTATTCAAATAATTTAGTGAATCAATATCAAGCACATCTTTCAGAGAATACAGTAAGTATAGTTAATTTTAACATCATTCAGTTGACACAAATGGGGACTTAATTTCAGCAGCTTGTAAATGTAATACCGTCATCGGCAAATCGAATTATTCACCAGACAACAAATAGTATTAATGGAGATGCAAATGATTTGAATGAGAGATCACTTGATTTATCTACGGATTATATGTCCAATGCAAACCTAAGTTCAAATGTAAATATAGTAAATTACTTGCCAAATTTACCCGTCACAATAATAAATACAAGCTCCGATCATATTCATCACCAAAATCATCAATATATTAAAAAGTGTGAAAGCATACTAAGCATACATCAGCCTAAGGAACAATCACACATGATACACATCTATGGAGACAGCAATATTATACAATCAACAGATTTGCCTGTCCTTACTCCACTTAAATATATGGAGTATCAAAATAATCTTAGCAGTATTGTCACGTCTGCTGGAACTGACGAGCAGCAAATCTTAATGAACAATGACGATGTCATGTCCGAAAAGAGTGATTGTGAAAGTATTCATGAACAACCGCTAAAGCAAAGTCTACCACATAAAAAACGAATAGCAAAGAAATTGAATTCTGATGAATTTTCAATCATCCTGACTGATCCAGACGCAAATATTCGTGCACTTCAAGCTGCAAACGTAAGCTGTCTATTATTTAATACCTTTTGACTCATTAATTTTATTTTAATTCTTTAATGTTCTTTTAGCCTCAATTTGAATGTATTGAATGCGGTTTATCGTTTATTGGTCAATTGGAATTTTATATGCATCTAAAAGAACATTATGAAGGTCAGTCATCGTCACTAATGCGACATACCAAACGAAAAAGATTTGCTCAACATGAAGAGTTGGAAATTCATGTGCATGACGAAGAAGATCCAAATTCAGTTGCTGAGAATTTAATTATTGAATCTTTAGAGGATTCACAAGATGATATTAAGTCTGAAGAGATTGAAGGCGACGCTTTTGGGTTTAGTGAACCCGAAGACATGGAAGATTTTCGCAAGGAAGTAGAAAAAGTCGTTGAAACAATTGGCGATACAGAATGTCTACCAGATTCTTCCTGGAATTATCAAGTATCGGACGAGATGGATGAAAGTCATACAAACGTTACAATTATGGAAAGCTATTCCGAGAAAATGGATAGTATCGATCAGTCTAATTATTCAAATCAACAAGAGCTAAAATGTGAATCATATCTGTGTACGCAAGATATTAAGGATGATAACGATGTCGATGAGCATACAATTTTACATTTTACTAATAATAGCAATGAACTAATTGACATTAAGCACGAAAGAATGAATGATCCAGCGATAATTCAACCAAGTGTCTTAGAAACAGATGAAGAGGATGAGAAGCCTCTCGAGGAAGTACGATTATTACTAAAGAAAACAAAGAGATATCAAAAACAAAAAGTTCAAAATGATGCAGAAGTTGAATTTAACGAGTGCCTGAAGAAAATTCAAAATTTTAAGTGTAATGATTGCAATAAATGCTTCAACTCAAGGACTGCACTAGGATATCACTTAAAAACTCACAGTAGTGAGCGAAGATATGTCTGTGATCAGGTAATGCTTTTACTTTAATTTTACCGCATTTTCTTTTCAAGATCTCAAGAATTCTGTGCGGGGAAAATGTGCTTCGGTCGATCACGTGTGATCACCTCTTTACTAGTTATAATTCTATTATCTTATGCATAAATTAATCTTTTTAGTGTGGGAAGAAATTCTTAACAAACGGAGCATTAAAAGTACATTTAAGACTACACACCAATGATCGACCTTATAAATGTAATTTCCCTGATTGTGGAAAGTCGTTTAGACAATGGGGCGATTTGAAATATCATGAGACTAGTTTACATTCAGATAAGAAGGATCACATTTGTGAATTCTGTGCTAAAGCTTTTGCTAGAAAATACTCGTTAGTAATTCATAGGAGAATCCATACTGGTGAAAAGACATACAAGTAAGCTTATCATTTTATATTTCATTTTCATTTAATTTACCTTTTGTTTTTATTCTTGATAGGTGCACAGAATGTGACAAGAGTTTCCGAGCCTCATCTTATCTCCTTAATCACAAGTAATTATTTTTTCACTATAATTAAGTACAACTATTGAAACAGGTTAAAATCTTAATAGATTACTTTGATTTTCAAATTCAACGGAGAACAAAACTTTTTAAAGTTTTGAATTTGATTTAAATCACTTCACTTTCGTTAAGATTAATATTTCATCTCGGTTCAGTTCATTTGAAATTTTTAAAACCGTTAAAATTTGAATCTTCAAAAACCGTTAAAATTCATAAAATATGAAGAATATAGTTATATAATAGAATAATGTTGAACCCTAATAATTATTGATATATTTCTAGACGTATTCATTCTGGCGAACGTCCATTCGCGTGCATGGTCTGTGGGAAAAAGTTTCGAGTTCAAGGGGATCTTAAAAGGCATACAGTGAGTTTATAATTATAATGTTTCTTTAAATTTATAAATTAACGATTAATATCCATTAGAAAATTCACGATCGTGTTAAGAATGGGGTAGTGAAAGAGAAGAAAAAAGTAATTGAGCCTCAAGTTATATCCAACAATCAAGATATTAACAATGTAGCGGTAAGAAAACATTAAAATTGCATTAAGAGAACATTTTTTGATGATATTAATAAAATTTTAGGGGAAAGAATGTGTGGACTTAAGCAAAGAGAAGAAAGCAATGGAAAACACGGATAGCAACTTTATAGAAAACCTTACGAAAAAAGGAATCGGCAATAATGAAGTTACGAAAAAGATTAAGAAAAGTCACAAAAAGAAAAATGTCAAGTAGGAAATATAATATTTGTAAATAATAAAAAAAATCAATTGAAATCAAAGAAGTTATATGACTATATTATATAACGTGATGGAAGCCTTTTATTGCTTCAAATAAAGATTCACCTTACATTAATCATTGATGTTTCAACGAAAATGATTACAAATGAATATTCATGCTCTTCATTTTGGGCATAGACTTTTTAGCATCTTTACGCTTCATCTTCTTTTCCATTCGGAGCTGTTTCTCAACATTATCCTCGTTCATGAGCTTTTCCTTGTCAGCCTTTCTCCTTTCTTCCTTTTTCAATGCTGCTGCTTCCATTCTTGTTTGATGTGTGTTTTTCAAAAATTCTTCTTCGACGCGTTGACGATTTTTATCAGCTTTCAATTTGCCCTACGAGATAATAATAATTATGGAACAAAGATAAGCTAGTCGTACAAACATGATTCTTTTTCTTATAATTAATTTACCTCTCTTGATAGCTTGTATCGCTTTAATTTTTCAATCAAATATATGACTAGTTGCATTATTGGCTTTAATTCTTCCATGTCAGTCTTATCCGTAAATGTATATGTAATAATAAGCATTTTCTTCATTTCGGGTTTAACAGCTTGTTGAGTATCTTGATCCTGAATGGCTAGACCAGAATACTGATCAGAAATATGAATAGATTCAATCGAGTTGCTATATTTTGACAATATGGCAAGTAAACGTGAGTCAATGACTGCAGAAGTAGCTTCTGCAATCTCAGATAGTACGGAAAATCCATTTGGTAAGTTATATTTATCTTCACTCTTCGCAACGCTAACACAGAACTGCTTTAAATCAGTTAACTCTTTAAAGAGACGGCTAGCGCTTTTCTTTGAACAAATAGCCATTACAAAAGTATCCATCGAGTCTTTGCTCAATTCAACTTTGATTTGTACTTGGTCTGCGTTCTGAAAAAATTGTTTAAATAGATATATTAGCTTAAATACTAGTCGCTTACAGTAATTTATGGTAAAGCTACCTTTTTGCCGAATAAGAGATGTCCCATTGTTATCGATAACAAATCCTGACGTTTAATCAGCCTGGAAAAATAATTCAAAAATTCATACTGGAGCCCGTTATAAATATTAATTAAATTAAGCATACTTAAGCTCAACGAGCATTCCTTCGACTAAAGTACGACCTGAGCACCACAAGCTATAAATAGAATCAGATTCCTTGATGAAACCGGGAGTAGATTCATCTTTTTTCGTATCGTCACCAACTAATGCGAAGTTATCTTCAAGGAAGGAACGATGTGACAATAGCCATGCATTTGCAATTTTAATATTCTTATTCTTTCCCATTGTATAATTAATGAAATATACGACAAGACCACAGATGAATAAAAGTTCTATCCAATAGTTGTGCCATAATACACGATTATATGGAATTTTGTTAACTATGTTTAATTTTGGCTCGGCTTGTTTTTTGGAATTGAAATTTTTGTTTTCTTCCATATCAACATCTCCACCAAATCCTTCAAATTCGTCTTGATCGAATTCATCCTCAACAATTCCGTCATCAATGTCATTAAATGATTCAGTATTTTCATCTACCACTACTTTTTCAACCTTTTGTGGCTCATTTTGCCTTTGTTCGACTTTAATCTCTAGCTGATCTTCCTCAAACTCGAAATCTGCAAATTCATTGTCCTCTTCGAAGCAATAACTTACACTTGCGATACATGATATCAGCAGCGTAGCACATAAAATTGATGAAAATCTCATGACCTGAAAAAATTCATTTAAATTAATTAGTAGGGTTATTGGTGATTTTACAATATAATACAGTGATTTAAGGCAATACCTGAATATATTTCTATAGAATGCAATTAAAACTAAAAGATACGTACGTTTTTAATAATTAATTGTTGTTCTTTATAATTTAATTAAACTTTCTTATGATCACGAATTTCTGATGAATCTCCTATTTTTTCACGTCTCACTTATCTTTTATTTTTGATATCGAGCAGTGTTTTTACTTTGTCCACTGACTGACGATTATTTTCAATATTTAATGTCTTCCTCTACTAATTGTTTATTTTCTATTTTTACTTTTAACGGTTTTACCACATTTGAAAATCGTTCAGTAACTTAATAGTTCATTTCAGTTCAATTCATTTGAATAGAAATAATTCGTTATGATCAAAAATTCTCAGCAAAAGATTATTTTAATTAATTTATTCAATGCGCTTCCTAGACAGTGTCAATCATAGACTTTTCATGACATTGAACGAAAAACTTATTTGACGAAGCGGGTATCATCACTAGCTAGTCAATATTTTTTGTAAATAACACAAATATATTAAAATCGATTTTCTATAGCTGCCAACAAGATACTATAATTAAATTACACTATGTTTAAAAGTAAGAGCTCTGAACCGAATGTGGAAATTAGCATTCAAGCCATTCAGGAAGATATGATGACGTTTGCACATCCAAATTTGTGTAATTCAATTGGCAATAAGCAACGACTAGTTGAGGATATAAAGAATAACATGGCAACGAATGAAATTGACACTAATTTATGGTTTAGCTTCTTTAATGTATTTAAGTCACAAAACAATGAATTAGAAAGTACTCTTACAAGTCTGCAGAATCATCAAGAGGAACTAGAATTTAAGAGATCTGAAATAGAATGTGATCAATTGATTCTGAAAAAAGATATCGAAAGCTGTTTAAATAATGTCCGAAAAGCTAAATCTCCTGAATAAAACATTTTTTATTGTTAAAAAATTAAATACTGTTTAACAAATTGCTTATTAGTACGGGAATATATGGTTTTCATTCGAGAAATTTGGAATACAGCCACCACAAAAGGTTGTTGGCTTATACTTGAGGTGGTTTTCGATAAACTGACAAGGACAAATTACTTGAACCATGTGACGTGCAGGATCATTAGCTGTAACTTCTAAATAGCTTCTCATTCTAGCTTTTGCCCATCTTGAAACGTATCTTATGATGATTTGTTCTCCACGATTCTGTAAATTTTCTATATCCAGTAACTACATATTTTCTAAAAGTCATAAGTCAAATGAAAGTGTTCATACTGATCATGTTTATTATGTAGATAATTAACAAAATATAGACTTTTTTATCTTTAAAAACTTTTGACTCAATATTCCTAACAGCACTTAAATCCAACACTTTCCATTCGGTTACCGAGCGAAGCACAGCATGATGCTGAATTTTCACGTTTTGATGATTCTTTAATCAAGAATATTTCTTCAACATATTGACAGGGACAATAAGATTTACTAAGATGTCTTGGAGCAGGATTAATTCTATCATCATCACTTCTCATCCAATCAAGTCGATGTCTTAAGTAATCCTTTCCCCACAATTGTAAATATCTCAAAAGAATTTGTTCAGAAATGACCTAGTTGTTAAAAATTTTTTAATTGATATCTAATCGTAAAGCTTAAATTTATGGTTTACATGTAATGCTTAGATTTTTTTCTTACTTAATAAGTAGTATAGCGTACGACACACTTTCATTTGATATGAATTTTGAAATATTAGATGATTTATAACATGAAATACGAACCTGCTTTCGAGATAGTCGTGTGCTACTATTTCCCTGAATTATGATGTCATTTGACTCTATATCGAGGCGAGATTCCCAACCAGGCTCAACGGTCTGTCCATTTACTTCTCTTCTTTCCAAAAAGTTGTTTATATAGCTAAAAGAATTTAAGAAATTCATAAATATTTGATGGATGAAATCATGAAAATTGAGTGGATGATTCAAATTCCTCATATCAAATGTTTAGACTTAAAATTTGACATGTTAACTTGGTCAATCATCATGCAAACGATCTATAACAAATAAATGTTTGTGAGCAAATACAGTTTGAGGATGGAAAATAATTAAAAGCAAAGCTATGATTAGATTCCAACATTCTAACCTAATTTGAGTTTTAGAATCCAGAATCATCCACTGCACTCTTATAACAACTAGTTTTTCTTAAGATTAACAAGTTATACCTGATACATTGTGCAGCTTCAAAGTAAATGAAACATAAATGGACCTTATGACAGGAGATATTTCCTCTGTCGTCCAATGCAATAATAATTTTGTGCCTTAGCAGTAATTTATTGACTCTTGCCAAGCACTTTTCGAGTCCTCTAGCCAACTGAAGCTTCAACCACATGCACAAAAATATTGCCATTGCATTTAAAAACAGCCATGAAACACCAAGCGAAAATAGAAGGATTCCGGTTATTCCAGAAAACAGAAGCGCAAGCAATACAACAAATGCTATCATAATCCAAAGCATTAGAATTCTTTTATAACAAATATTGTATAGTGTAAACCTGTAATCATTTACTAACATCTCCAAAGCATGCACATATTCCTCAACAGTTAACTATGCAATAAGAAGAAAAAGCAGACATGTGACTTAAATGATCGATTGATTTTTAATATATGTACAATAATATGTAGCACTTAATTTAATTACCGTTAGACCTTGAGCCATTAGTTCTTCTGGAACCAATTCTGGTCTGAATTTTGCAGGTACTACCCACGGAAAGCTTTCATTCACAGGCAGCAAGGTAACGATTATATCGCCATTATCTACAAATGTAAATTTTTAAAGTCATTAATATTTTTGCATAAAATTAAAGTTTTATGAAATGTCCACGTTGTGGATGTTATTGAAGTGCATTTTTTGATAAAATTTAAGAACTTTATCAAGATTTTTAAAAATTAAGTTTTTTTCAAATTCAAAAATTTGAATTTTTCAACGTTTGATTTTTTTTGAATCATCAATTAGCACAAGTTTTGGATGAATCACGAGAAATGTGCCTCAATTAATCACAATTCTCGGAAACTTCAGCTACAAAAACATTTAACGTCCATAAAAATAGAAATGAGAATAAACATTGAGCATTTATCGATGCCTCGTGACATTCAGTCAATCAAATTTGAGTGTGATTTTGCAAAATTGCACTTAATATTACTATATTGTTATGTAAATACATACTGAATCCCTCATTTTGCTGATGCTCCCTCCTTTTTGGTAACTCGACATTACTCAACACATTGTTTATAGGCACCTCAATAATAGCTGGCTGTGAAATTTCACCCGTAGATTTAAAACTTTTAGTCTCATTATATCTAATATCTGAATTCTTAGAAGCACCATTTTCAATACCGTGAGATGACTCATTTGGTAATACTGTAGAAGTTTTTATTATTATATTCTCCTGTAAAATAAATTGTTATTCAGTCATTGTAAATTCCATGAGAGCTTGTGCAAACAGCAAGCAACATTTTTTCTATTTACCTTTTCATTTTGTACATCACTTTTAACTTTTTCTTCATCATCAAATTTAACCCATTCTTTTTTATTATTATCTGGAACACTTGACTTGCTTAATGGGTCATCTGTGACTCTAGTCAATTTCGAGTCTTGTGCACTTTCATCCATTACTTTATTAATGCAATTTTTATCTCAAAGCATTGAGATTTAATTATTGAGACATAAAATATTTAATTTAAACTGGATATAAAGGCAAATAATGTTCGAATACACCAATTTACTATGCCTATATTACGACTAAAATGAGAATATGAAAAAAAGTATGTGTTTACGTGGATGAAGATCAAACAATACTATTTCGAGGTAGTAAGGTAAAGTTAAAAAAAAGATATGAATGGTATGAGTTGAGTTAGTGTGTAGCGTGTAGCGGTCGGTGTGGCAACAAATACAAATAGAACTACGACACCAATTAATGTGCTATGAATGGCATTCCAAAATATTAACTTGATAATCGTTTTCATTAAGCATTCAAAGCTGATTTTAGATCCAATTCGAGAGATCTATGGTAAATAAATAGATGAAATATTGCAACAAGTGGGTGTGTGAGCATGCACACTCATACATGAAATTTTAAATATAAGCTTTTATACTTTATGATTATTATTATTAAAATCTACATGTATACACATTTGTGTATTCTTTACTGCCTCTTTCTAAACACCTATACTTATAATCTTATTCTCTCATGTAGAAAAAAGCTCATACTTGCATGTTAAGTATTTAGCTTTTATTTACAAATTGATATTAATTAACACCCTATGACATTTGATTGTGTATCGACCAGACATGAAAACTAATAACCGTTTTATTAAAAGTTCATCAATGCCGAAAAACCAGATTATTCACTGTGACACTAGTCATCGCGCTTTACATTTTCCTTCGAAGATTCTCCATGGTCAAGAATGTCGCAATTATGCGAGGTGATACATATCATCATGCAGCAACGTGTTATTATCGGCGATCAGTCTGTCAGGCTGACTTACTTAATATTTATCTTATTATTAATTATTACATAAAAAATCTTCATTTCTTCTTTAAATGTCGTGTATATCACATTTACATGTACGTAGTCATTTTTTGATTCTTAAATTCATTTGGGATTCAGCTAATTTGGGACACTTTTATTAAATTTTTGGTTTTTTTGAATTTTTGAAGATATATGTTTGAAGTCGTTCATTTATTACATTCGCTGTTTTGGATGTGAGCAGGGTTGTTAAAACATATTCTATTTTACAGAATATGTACACATATCCAACACATTTTGCATGTTCATGTGTACAATGTGTGGCAGAATTCATATGTTGGCAGATAATATATGTCACACATTGCATATGTGCACATATATTATGTGTGATGTGTGCACATATTTGATGTGTGACACATTATTTTGTGTCACATATGAAAATGTGTGATGTGTGACACATATTTATGTGTGTAGATATCATGTGTAAACATGCAAAATCTGCACATATTTATTAATTTTCGGGACTAAAGTGGTATTTTTTTGTAGAATTTATTTAAAAAATTATTGATATACAACCAAAACAGTCAAATACTGCATAAAAGAGTTAATTTTGTCGAAAATATGTTCATCAAACTGTAGTTTTAAACTAATTTGACTATATTTGTTGGAGAAATTGGGAGAAATGAAAATTAAAACACAAAATAATGTGTCACACATCACACATAATATATGTGCACATATGCAATGTGTGACATATATTATCTGCCAACATATGAATTCTGCCACACATTGTACACGTGAACATATTTTTAAAAAAAGCCAGATTCTATTTTTAACCACCCTGGATGTGAGTGTTTGTGTGTGGGGGGGGGGGGTCAATATTTTAAATTTAAGAATATTAAGCGTAAGGCAATAAGCAAATTGATTGGTTAATTATTTAAAAGAGAAGAATTTCCCACCAAAAAATTAATCATGGCTAATTTTATTCAAAAACTTACAAACAAAAAAAAATAACGATATCCATATTAATTAATTCTTAAGAAAAGAGCAATAAAAGAATCTGCAACACAGACCAAACGAAAGTGAAAAGAGGTAAAAAAAACAAGAATGTATACGAGTCAACAGGATTCTTTAGCCATTCAATAAATATTCATCATAGGTAGGTTACATAGACGCCTTTTTTACTTGTCTTTGACTCGTTCGTTTATTGAAAAAAAAAAATTTTGCTGACATTAAAATTTTTTAAGATGTTCAAATCATTTGTAATCGAGATTTGGTGGAGTGAAGTTGTTAAATAAATAACGAGAGAATGCGGGTACTTGAAGCAGTTGCTGTTTATGTGAAAGTGAAAAAAATTGCATAATAATTTTTATTTCTTACAGTTCCTTCATTTGCTGTTAATTTTAATAATCGGTTATGTTAGTGCAGGTCAAAATGATCGTTACTTAGTATCGCCAAATCCAGAAAAATGCAAGACGCGTAAGGAGTGATTTATTAAGTGTTTGACATTTAGCAACGTCTTCAAATTTATTTATAGGCACTAAGGAATTTCAATATGATGGACGTAATTATTTTTATAGTGGTCATGATAAGGAATTAAAGGACCAAAAAACTGATTGGCTTGACTCTAGAAATACTTGTCGAGAACGTTGCATGGAAACTGTTTCGTTTGAGACTCAAGCTGAATTTGATTTTGTCAAGAAGTTTATCGAAGAAAAGAACATTAAATTTATTTGGACATCAGGAAGATTATGCGGTATTATGTCGATAAATTTCAAATAAATCAATAAATTCCAATGCATTTATATTAAATATTAGACTTTGCCGGCTGTGAAGGTCGTTGGGATTTATTGCCAAAAATTGTTAAGGGATGGCTATGGTCTGCGAATCAAAAACAACTTGATGACACCAATAAAATTCCAAATGGATGGGATTACACTCCTTGGTCTCGAAATGGAACATTAAAAAGAAAGCAACCAGACAATGCTGGTAACTACTCTTAAATGTCAAATTAAATGCCAATTTTATGGCTTTTGTCTATTTTTTCTGTTAGAGTTTTTCATCAATCAAGCTACCGAGAGTTGTCTAGGAGTTTTAAATAACCAATATAATGATTCAGTCACGTGGCATGACATTGGTAAATTTGATGGTGAAATTTAAGTTGAACATACTAATATTTTATTGGATATTTAAATTTTTATTAGCTTGCTATCATAGAACCGGATTTATTTGTGAAGATTCCCTTGAATTATTGAGCGAAGCTCAAGAAATTAAATCACAGAGTGAAAATCGTGAGGAAATTGTTGAAATAGCTCCACAAAAGATTATCACAGAACCTAAACCGACTACAACTTCTGCACCAAGAAGTTCAAGAGTAACAACCAGTGCTGCTAAAATTACAACTGAAAGAAGAACATCCCCTGTACCTACAACTGTAAAATCAACGACAGAAAAGAAGATCCCAATAATTTCGCAAACAACAGCAAATGAAGAAAAGACAACCGAGACACCAACGAACATAATTGAGACTTCAAAAGGTCCAAAATTCGGAGGAAGACGAACAAGGACTAGAACCACACCAAGCTCTACTACAACTCTAGAAGAGACAACCTCACAATCTACAACAACAACAAAGGAAGCAAAAATAGTCGAGGATATTGTACAAAAACCAAGAAAATTGATCTTAGATACAGAAGAACAAATTTTGGACAAAGTTCAGGAAGAATTACCAGACATTGTGGCAAAATTACAAGACCAACCTGAAATAATCGTTAAAGTTGAAGATGAACCAGTTATTATTGTTAAAATAGAAGAAGAGATAAAATTGACTGAAGCACCAATTATTGAGGAGCTCACAACAGTTGAAGCAATCACAACAGAAGAACCAAAAGTCTCAACAAAGAAAACCTTTATAAAGCGCAAGAAGATTTTTGGTAAACTCAAGCCTCGACCAGTTGCTGTTACTGAAGAACCTGATTCTTTCTCTCCAGTACCAGAACAATTACCTCCAGTGTCAGAAGTAAAAAAGAATTTCAGAAAAATCAAACCAAGACCAACAACTACGTCTACAGAACAACCTGATGTAATTGTATCCACAACCGAACAGTTAACTTCAGCACCAATCGCAAGAAAGAGCTTCAGAAAACTAGTCACTCGATCCACAACTTCAGTGCCTGAGACTATTCGTACATCAGAAAGTTTGGAAGATTCATCAAGACCCAAGAAAATATTTGGAAAATTAAAATTCCGTACAACCACAACAAAGGAAGTAGAGTCAACATCGACTACCGTTGAACCAGAATCAATTTCGACTTCCGTTGAACCAGAAGAAATTACCAAAACAGAACAATTGGCACAGGAGATATCAGAAATTTCCACGGAATCGAGTCTGTCAAAAAGTAGCGATGATTTGGTAGAACTTCAAAAAATTGATGAACCTATACTTACAACGACAGAAGAGCCTGAACCAGAAGAACGACGTGCAATTCCAATTAAACGAAAACAAGTCAAATTGTATCGAAAAGGTAGAAGAAATGTTTTGCGCCAATAATTGCTTTTTTGACACCTGTTGCTTCCTTGCTTTTATTTCTTGCGAATATTTTAATGTGATGGGCTGCACATTTTTTGTCTTTATAAACTCTATACTATAAATTCTTCTATGCTTTTCAAGTTTTTGCTTAGTACTATTTTTATACATTCCACAAATGCGTGCCATTTGAGATCATTTTAACACTTTAACCTTTTAACGCAGTTTATAAGACTACAACGGAAGCATCATTTGATGGACCATCACAAAGCATTGATATTAACGACGAAACAACAAAATCATCACCAATTCCCATTCGAAGGAAGGTTTTCAAGCAACGATTTAGAGAGAGATCTTTATCTACAAATAAATAAGTCAGGACCAATCAAGGACCAGGAACAATTTGATATTCTTTTTATTTCATTTTTTGTATGGAATATATACATCAATAAATTTTGATACTGTTATGTTAATAAACTTTAGTCTGGTTTAAATTTAATCGCTATCATATTCGTTGGCCTTTCCATTTAAAGGTCTTCTGGAATCTTCCTCTGAAGCATAGACTACTTCTTCATCGGAATCGTTTATCATTGAGAACGCCGGATTATCTTTCCGAACAGGTTCTAAAGGAAGAATCGGGAATGTTTAAAATGTGAAAAGTCGTGAAAAATTTGTTTCTATGCTGAAATCTTACCACTTGATGTTAAAATCGGACTATAAACGTAAGTTATGGTAATGACATAAAAATTCAGCATGCCATAAAAACACATAAAATGAGCAGAGCTTTTATAATTCGTTGCTAGCTGCCCAACAAAGTTGTCCTCGACGATTCCAAAACCGAATCTCGACATCGTTGAAATAACAGTAATGGATATGACAAATATCATCAATAAAGATAGGAATTTAAGTCTCATATCAAAATAGTGCATTGACCGTAAATCGCTGTATGCACTAAACATCAAAAATATTAAGTACATTGCATAAAGTATTATTGACACATAAAAACTCGTTATAAATCCAGAATAATTTCCATCTGTAAGGTAAGATAATAAAATGTTAATAAGAATGATGTGTACATTAATTAATTTTTTTGGACACATAAATTCGTGTTCATTATGGAAACAAAACTAGTGTATCGGGTAGAAACCCAATGCGGATATATTCACACCGTACCATCAAAAGTCTTATGGATAGACCAAGATTTGCTCAGCATAAGTTTGAAGGGTGGACGTGAAGTACGGCCGAGACCCATATCGACAAAGTTCACAAATTTTAGGATGTTTTATTTGTATTTGTTTTAAGCACTTGAATTTTTATGCAAAGTTTCAATCCATTTGGATAAACCCTCGAAGAAAAAAGTGACAAAATTGATTTTGACTAGGGTCGCCCCTAGTCCAAAATTGAAAATGTATTTCCTTCTTGGTTCCTTGATCAATAAAAATTTTAGGATGTTTTATTTGCATTTGTTTTAAGCACTAGAATATTCATGCAAAGTTTCAATCCATTTGGATAAACCCTCGAAGAAAAAAGTGACAAAATTGATTTTGACTAGGGTCGCCCCTAGTCCAAAATTGAAAACTTATTTACTACTTGGTTCTTTGCTCAAAAAAATTTTCGAATGTTTTATTTGTATTTGTTTTAAGCATTAGAATATTTATGCAAAGTTTCAATCCATTTTGAAAAACCCTCGAAGAAAAAAGTGACAAAATTGATTTTGACTAGGGTCGCCCCTAGTGCAAAATTGAAAATGTATTTCCTACTTGGTTCCAGAGCTGCGAAACAGGCACCTGTGACAGGTGAAAACCCTACAATTCCTTGATAATTTATAAGGTTTTTCAAACAAAACCATACAAATTATCAAGGAATTGAAAGGTTCTGACCTGTCACAGGTGACCTGTTTCGCAACTCTGCTTGGTTCTTTGCTCAATAAAAATTTTAAGAATGTTTTATTTGCATTTGTTTTAAGCACTAGAATATTTATGCAAAGTTTCAATCCATTTGAAAAAACCCTCGAAGAAAAAAGTGACAAAATTGATTTTGACTAGTGTCGCCCCTAGTCCAAAATTGAAAATGTATTTCCTACTTGGTTCTTTGCTCAAAAAAATTTTCAAATGTTTTATTTGTATTTGTTTTAAGCATTAGAATATTTATGCAAAGTTTCAATCCATTTTGAAAAACCCTCGAAGAAAAAAGTGACAAAATTGATTTTGACTAGGGTCGCCCCTAGTGCAAAATTGAAAATGTATTTCCTACTTGGTTCTTTGCTCAAAAAATTTTTTTTCATCCAAAGTTTAATTTAAAAAAAAATCACAGTGAACTTTTAATTTGAAAAATTCGTAAGAAAGGAAAGTTTTTTGCTTTTTCTGAAGCAACGGTTGTTCCTACCTTGCCCAAAAACAATACAGCTCTTCTACAGAGCAGCACGGATCAAATGTAAAAAACTAGAAGTCTTTACAATGTCCCGTTATTGAGATTTCTTGCTGATTAACTTGCTTGCTTGCCTGTTTGCTTGCTTTCAGAAAGCATATTTTGCGATTTTCTCAGCAATGCCGCAACCAATTTGAAATCTGTTTTTTGCAAAAGATGTGAAATTCAAGGCACAAACTTTTCATCTCTGAACATTTTAAGCTATCTTGCTCCATATCCTTCCAAAATTCTAAAAACTTATTTTTCAATCTGAACAAAACCAATAGATTCACACGTGAAAACGGTGTGAATATAAAAAAAGTATTTTAATATTAATTAAGAATCTTGAGGTAAACATGCAGTGATAAGAGATGTTTAAACATTAAATGGAAAGTTTTGCATAAATTAGTTTCATCACGATTCATTGCTTAAGCCTTCAAAATTTATAAAAGACGAGAGATGCATCACAAGATTAATCAATTTGCAATTTATGAGACTGATCTAGTTCAAGGTACCTTGAAATTTATCAAAAAAAAATTTACCATAAAAATGAATCCAAGTCGGATCTCTCAATTCATCAAGTTTCTCCCAAATAGCAAGGACAACAGCACATAACCATATTGGAAAGAGAATTAATAATTTAGGAAAGTAGAATGTCAAGAACTTCCTTTCATTCTGTCTGAGTGCATGATAAATTGAGATCCTATAAATAAATAAATTTGACCATCATTAACTGTATGTGCATGAAAATTTCAGTACTTACCAAAATAATAACAGTGTACAGAGAAATGTCGATTGAAATAATGCATCGAGCATGCCAACAAACCACGAATCAACCAAAAACATTAACGGGAATAATGGATCTGTGGAAGAGATGTTGAATAAATTATTTCTTGTCGTCATAAAAATTTATAACTGCTGCCTTACTATCATATAATATTAATAAAGGTAGGAGATAGTATGTAAATTTCTGTTCAATAGACCAATTCGTTGACGGATGCTTCCTCAACAGTGTATAATACCAAATTGTCACAATGAATGCAAAGAACAAAAATATTAATCTAAAGCTTATTTCCAATGACGTAAATGCTGGATTGAATGTCTTAATCTGTGAATGAATAAATATTTCTTTATCAAGTTTTGCATCGAAAATATTTCAGGTATTAATCTCTGAGTCATGCAGTCTATTCACAAAATCATCTTTATATTGGCGCAAAAAGCTTGTTTGTCACACAACATGAAGATGATCTCCTTGACACAATATGATTGCAAAACAAACTGCACAACTGTTGCTCGAGAGCTAAGGATATGTCACTAAATTCTAATACTCACATAAAACGTTAATTTTGTTATGCTGTATCGATTACTGTTTAATCCATAAAAATTGATTAAAAATTGATAATGCGAATAATCCAGCCATCCCAAATGAACTACAGTAAAATCTTCGCAAATATTTCCTTTGCACTTTAAATGTCGTGTGCGATTTCTAAGCTGATACTTATTAATGTTCTTAAACTTTAAATTATTTAAACCTTTTAGTTGAACGCTCACCAAAAATGATGTGTCAAATATTTCATCTGAAAGGATTATAATAGTTCTTATTAAGTTTAAAGCTTTAAGCTTTCCAGGGAGTTTTGTCAAAAAGTAGTTTTCATTGAAATTACAAAATTTCAGAATGCATAAAACTTCAAATTTTTTGTAAAAATAATCCACAATCAGGCTTGAGTCATATGGAATATCTATGAGATAGTTGCAGGTAAAATCCAAATTTGTTTGATTTAATCAAAACTGAGTTTCCCGCCTTTTTATGCAACATTAAATTGACAAAAAAAATCTTTTATAACTTCGTAGAGTAAAAAACTTACTTTCTGTATTTTCTATTTGGTATTTTGAAAAGAGCCAAAGTTGTCTAGCATAAGTACTAAGATATCCTGATTGAACCTTAAAAGGCCCATGTGTAAGGAAATTATCTTGTGTTATATTCGAATCAGATAACTTCATTGCATCGATTTCTTTGACTAGAGTTATTTCGGGACCAGCTTTAAAAAAAATATCAAATGAACTCGTTAGGAAAGAAAACATAAAAAATCAATAATTTTGAATGTTTACCAATTCCAATGAAAACTGCTAAAAGGAAGCATACAAAGAATGCCATTATCACGAGAAAGAACGATCTCTTATTGAGCGAATATAATCGCATGTGTAAGGATCTTTCAGGCCTACAATACAATTAAGTGGGAAATTACGTTGAATATTAGTTTGAACATAATTTAAGGAACTTCACCTATCATGCTGAACTGCTGGCGATAGAGGACCAAATTCACTAAAAAAGTCACTAATTTGTGTAAGAGAATTCTTAAATCTATTATGCGGAAGATTTAATTTAATATTAGGAAAGTCTGTCATTATATTTTCTATTAAATATGTTCCAACTGTGTCAACTAAATTGAAAAATCGATAATTTTAAGGGGAATGAATAATCATTGAGAATATCCGTTAAGTGTGCACATTCGAATGTTTTGTTGCTGTGCTGTGCTGCATACTATGGACTAGACTTTAGATATACTTTTTTATTATTTTCACTCTCAGTACAGTAAGTCTGATAATACACAATGGAAAAAGATTAGTTAATTTTATTTTTTCGAGGCTTGAAACTATAGCAGATAAAACATTTGGTGTTTCTCAAGATACCTGAATTTAATTTGTCGTCAATTTTCAATAAGTTCTCATTTTACTGTCGTGTAAAAAGGATTCTCAACATAATTATAAATTAGAAAAAATTTTAGGTGAGTTGTGATTTTATATTTTGACAAGGCATGTCTTATTTCCAACAAAAAACTTTCATTTACTAGTTCATAAACGTCCATTTTAAATTGTGTTTCTTATAAAGTATGTGATTTACAATTAATTTAATCTATAGCATTTTAACAGACCTCATAAATACTTTGAGTATTTTACTTTATCATCATCTGTGTTAAATTTTATTTGATTGTTTAAATTGTGTGATAATTTTGAAGTGCTTTAAAAATTATTTCTCGTACATTTGTTGCCAAGTCTACTCGTTTTTTCGACTGCCAAATAATTTATTTGAAGCATCATAACACACAATTATTGTTACATTACAGTCGAAAAAGTAAATTATTTTGCTCATCGTGAATATTTTTTTATTTATTAACAGTGCCTGAAAAATGCAGCGATGGTGGTATACAGAAGATAAATCGAACGTGAAAGACAAGGTTCATAGAGAAAAGCGAATTAATGGCCGAAAAGAAGATTCAGGCTTTAAAGAGTGGACATTTAAGGTGTTCCTCAATTCGGAATTAAATTTGCATGGTATAGCCAAAGTTTTAATTGTGACTGCGTAAATGTAATCTGTACCATATTTTTTTTTGTTTTTTTTTTATGATCAGAAAAAGTTGCTGTAACTGGAAATTGCGACGAATTGGGCAATTGGGATCCAGATAATTGCGTCCTATTGAGCCATGATGGTAAGTAATTGACATAAACACGTTTTAGTCACATTTTTAACACATTCATTCATCTGTAGTAACGATAACATGAATGTTAAATATGTGCTTTGATTATAGCGTATCCAATGAGTATTGCTCTCCTGACTGAATAAAAATTAATATTCAAAAATAACTAGACTTAAATAATAATAAGAAAATTCTTATTCATTTTTAAAGGTTTTTAAAAACATTTTGTGTGCTCCGGTGGAATCTATAGGTCGGAAACCCTATGATAAAATATCTATAGATAATTCAAAGTGTGAGACTTTCCTTATTTACTTTTTCTTTGTTCATTTCTATTCACTTTATGTGTCTATTTATGTATTGTTGCTAACAGAAAGATACGCAAAATTTATTTATTTTACTCTTAAAAATTAGCATCATGTGATTTCTTTTGGGCAAGACACTCGTATAAAATGAAAACAGAAATCAAAATGAAAACAAAAAGTTGTGCACGTTTTGGTGTAAATATACTGGCACGTTGATTCGCAATCGGGTAAAAACGGTTGATTCAATGAACGATAGTAAACAAGCATTTTCTTTGCTGAACAAAAAGAATTTTTTTATCTGTCATACGTAATTTTTCGAATACTTTCCAAAATCTTCATCAAAACGGTTTTTCTGAATTTAAAATTTTGATTAAAAAAATAAATTAAATGAACGTTTTATAGCTTATTGAATAATCTCCTGAGGCTGAGACATTTACAAAATAAATGACGAATGCTTTTGTTGTCTCATAAACACAACTGACAATAAAGTTCATTTTGCTGATTAACACAATTTTCTTTAATTAAATAATTTTCTCGTTTTTACCAAGGGTCAGACACTCCAAAGTATTGTACGGTATTGTACAATACTTACAATACTTTCCATACAAGTATTGTAGTATTGTACAATACCTACAATACTTACAATACTTGCCATATAAGTATTGTAAGTATTGTAAGTATTGTATAATACATACAATACTTTTCATATAAATTTACAATACTTTACAATACTTACAATACTTACAATACTGAAATTTAATTATTCAAGAACCAAATTTTAAAAGAAATTAAATATTTTTTGAGTTTTCAACAATTTTCAAAACCAAATTTAATACTTTTTTTTGACAAATAACAACTTTTTTGATAAATTAACATTATTATTGAAAATTAGCAGGGGTATTTTATGAAAAACTAGCACAAATTTCAGTTTTCCATTAAAAGAGAGTATTTCTGATTATGTAATGGCTATAAAAATGGTAAAAAGTTCAAAATTCTTTTGTAAAGCTAGACTGATGCAAATCAAGAATTGATTTCATACAATTCTCATGCATAAAACCGTACAGGTACGAAGTTTATTATGTAAACTAATATTAAATGTCAATAAGGAATCAAAATTAAATAGATTGGTTTCATTTTCACAAGATTTTTCACTCTTTATAGCAAATTGCATTACGTTTTACACAAATTTTTTGATCAAAGTATAAGGTTTTAAGTGTATTCAAACATTACTTTGACGATTTGAATTTTTTTACCTCTGACAAGAAGGCGATTAAGAAGGAATCAAATTTAACAAACTTATCAAATAGTTTTTATATCATTTTTTTTTTGAAAATACATATTTTCAACAACTGCATCTCTAAGACAATATAAAACTGTATATTTTCTTCTTTCTTTGTCAAAATTATTCTTATATTTTTTAGTTCTTATAGTTGATACTAGACTTTCACGATTTTCTGTTCCCGAAATTTTCGGGACAGAAACTCGATGAATAACAATAGATATCCAAAAAAAATTTTAATGTCAAATTATCTCAATTGAAAAGTTTCATCATTTAAACACAAAAAATCTTCCAAATTTCCAGGAGCATGTTTGAAATTTGAGTTTAAATTTTTGTCCAGTTCCCGATAATTTTTTGGGTCCGGGAAATCGTAAATGCCTAGTTAATACAAAAATATATATCATTTCAGGAAAATTCACTGAAAATTTCTGATGAAAAATGTAAATCGAGGCATAGCAATGTTATGATATGACTTAAAGCGCTATAAAAAAAAACTAAACCTCTGTGTTACCTCTATAAAACTGAAGCAAACGTTAAAGTTCCTCTAATATGAGGAGCCTAATGTTTAATATTCTAATCTTATCTATGTTTTCGTTAATAATGTTTCATATTTTTGGCTGCATCTGGCGTTATATCGACTTTGTTTCGAGCCAGAATACCTTTTTGCTATTGACAATTTTGAAAAATGACTTTATTACCAAAAATTTTGTATACAAATATTTTTACAATATTTGTATATGTTTTAGACTGAATATTTTTGAAGAACTATAAAATTTCAATTAAAACCTTAAAAATATTTAGTTCAAAATTGCTAATTATGTATTTTTTTATCAAATTTTGGTTCAAAAAATGTAAAGAAACACGAGAAGCTACATAAAAACCGTCAATTATAACCAAATTCATATGACAAATGTTTCTCAAACTATCTTGTAAAAACTACAATACATTACAATACTTTTGGAGTGTCTGACCCTTGGTTTTTACAAACTTGTTTGTGAACATCTATCGAATAGTTTTGCAACTAATCATATTAAAAATAATTGGAATGCTCTAGTTTTGACCATGACCATGTATTATATAGCCAGCCAGTCAAAGTATCTGATGTGACTAATATGTTTTTAACAAAAATGCTTTCTAAAATAATCTTACAAGTCAAAGTATCTATTAATATGATTACTATTGAATAAATAATATTCTATAATAAGCAATAATATGTGTATCGATCACTTGACTGAACAATTATTTACGTTTAATTTTGTTGTTGTTTTCTTTACAGGAAGTAACATATGGACCTTGAAACTGAATGTTCCTAGCAAAATTGACATTAATTATCGATACTTCATCGCTTCCATTGACCCCTCTAATAATTCTGACGTGCACGTGAGGAAATGGGAGACTCATTTAAAACCGAGATGCATTCCAGCTGACGAAATGATGACATCAGACAATAATCTTGAAACCTTTGGAGTAGTCGAAGGTGTTGAGAAAGTCGATAAAGGATGGTTGACTAATGAAACAATTCTGCAATTCAAGTTCTACAATAATCCATTCATGCTTAAAGATCGAATCAAAAATCGCATATTGTATGTGAAAATGACTCCAATGAATTTGCGCATTAATGCCGAATCATCTAATTTACATGCAATTATGGACGAATCACTATCCAATGATACGCGCGAAAACAATACTGATACGCCGGCTTATGCATTTACTGAAGTTTCTACAGGAAATGGCGAAGAGTATTTGTATACTAAACAAGAGCAGTTTGGCCGTGCATATAATAATGATGACGTACTAACTTTTCACGTTACTGTAACTGAGCCTGAAAATATTGCATATTTAATTGACTTATACACTTATAGCAGAAAATCCATTATGGATCATGATCCACCGTATCATTTGGGTTATCATTATTTATTACCAAACATGTTGAGAAAATCTGAAGGATGTTTGGAACTACCAATTACTTGTTCATCAAAGCATCGTCCACTGGGTATGATGAAAGTGGGATATGTCAAAATTACACCAATTAATGATCCCAAATTCGATTTATCGATTACTTATGAACGGCACTGGAATGAAAAGCATAAGGGATTAGATGTAGGACATCGTGGTGCAGGAACATCATTCAAAGCTTCAAGTGGAAATACAATTCGTGAAAATACAATAGCATCATTGAAGAAAGCAGCATCTTCTGGTGCAAAGTTTGTTGAATTTGATGTCCAGCTATCTAAGGATTTAACTCCTGTAATTTATCACGATTTCCATGTTTATGTTTCTTTGAAGAAGAAGGGAACATTTGATGCAAGTGACATGCTTGAATTGCCAATGAAAGAATTGACTCTTGAACAATTAAAGAATTTAAAAGTTTATCATACAGTTGAAGCCAGAAGTAAAGAACCAAAGTTTTTCGACGAGGAATTAGCTGAACATCAACCTTTTCCAGAGCTTTCAGAGGCTTTTGATATGATTGATGAGGATGTTGGATTTAACATTGAGATTAAATCTGCACAAGAGCTTGAGGATGGAACCTCAGAGTCTACTTCATCTTCAATTGATAAGAATTTATACGTCGATTGCATTTTGGAAGTTGTGCTTGCAAAAGCCAAAAATAGACGAATTGTTTTTTCAAGTTTTGATCCTGACATTTGTATTATGCTCAGAAATAAGCAAAACGTTTTTCCCACAATGTTCCTTACTCTTGGAAAGACAACACGCTATAAGCAATATCGTTATCCATTGTGTAATACAATTCAAAATGCCGTTAAATTTTCTGTCGCTAATGAGTTGCTAGGCATTGTTGCTCACAGTGAAGATCTTCTCAGGGATATTAGTCAAGTGAACTTAGTGAAGGATCATGGTCTTGCCATATTTTGTTGGGGAGATGACAATAATTGCAAGGATAACATTAAATTTTTAAAAGACAAAGGCTTACATGCTATTATCTACGATAAGGTTGATGTTCTCATTGATAAGGTAAGCTATTTTGAGATATTTTTTTTAAAACACAACATATTTTAAAACATAAAACATTTAGCTTGTCCGAATTGATAAAATTCTATTTCATTCCTTATAAATTACATCTGTAAATATTGATCATATTTGGAATGCACCTAGATTTTTATTGGCACTGCCATTTAACATATTATTTGGATCCTCAAATTAAGTTGACAAATATTTGTTTTCTTACTCATGTCATCGCTATTCTTGGTTGTTTATTTAATTTCTAGTTTAGAGGCTAGACAAAGGATGATAAAAATATCTTTGTTTTTGACGATTTTATCTAAGTTTTCTAGTTTCGAATGATGACTCAGGCGCCTTGTTATGATTTGAATATATTTAAATTATAATTTCGCAAAAATGTGTCAATATGTCAACATCCAACGTGGATCTTTGACTGCATGCATATTCCGGTTTCGCTTTTAGTTTTTTGAACATGTACCTAAATGTTAAAGATTGCCTTATTTTTTTCTTCAAAAATCAATGCAATGTTGAATCCAACAATACAATTATATCTTGTCCAAATAAATTAAAGCTGAAGCTTATTTTCCCTTCAACATTTTCATTCGATACCATACTCTTGAACTTTAATGCTCCACAAGTCACTCACTGATTGTTTTCGATACTAAAAAGCATCAAGTCCTTGAATCATTGCATTTGTTTGTCGCATTGCCAAATCAAATAATTGAACATTTTGATAATGACGAACGATTTTTTTTAAATTCTTTCTTATCAGGTTGGAGATGACGTTGTTGGATTGTAGATTTTTTTTTCGGTTTTTATTTATGTTTTATGTTTTACAAAAGAAAACTTGGTTAACACTTTCATTCCTTTCATATCTTTACTCAATTATTTCATTTTTGTTTTGTCTTATCAACTATTGACAACATTGACAACATTTCTAAAAAAAATAGGAGGTTTATTATGTTGGAACGGAAAGCAAGAGAGAATCAGAAATCTTAGAACAAATAATCATCGAGCATCAATTCTTACCGAGTTCATCAGTTAAGCAAGCAGGTTAAATTGCAAATGATGATATTATAAAAAAAAAAACTTAGCTTTAAATTATATTTACACAACATTATTCACTTTACTATACATACATTGAATATTTGTCATGTTTTTTTTTGTGTTTGTTTTTTTGTTAACTTTAAAATCCCATAATTTTTGAGCTTTTTGCCAAAGTTCTTCCAAGATAATGCAAAAGATTTTAATGAATAATATGAAGCAAAATACATTATTCTCTATGATTCAAGCTTGTAGGCTACACAGTAAATAAAATTTTAAACAAAAAAACATTATTTGTGTGTCATTTACTCTTCCTTACAGCTTTATACTCAACTAAGTAAAGTTATAGTAAGAGTGTGCCAACAGCTTATTTTTCCAAACCTTAGTAAGTTGACTTTATGTCAAAATCTCAACGAAACTAAACAATTAAGAATCATAAAAGCAAACTACAACCAATTTAAGTTGCTTAATCAATTCAAAATATAAAGCTTGTGTTGACATATTCTTAACAGGTCATAAAAAATGACTTTCGGCGCACTATGAGCTAAAGCAAGTGAGTAAATTGGGAATTATCTTTATTATAAAATTGGATCATATTCTCTCCAATAGACTATGCTTTTTTCATTTGTATAAACTCTCCTTTGAAGATGAACTTACTTTTGTTTTATACGTCGATATTATTTCTCTTTCTTATTCATGGAAGCACAGCCAAATTGCGTAAGTAACTTAGAATTTCTGACTTTAAACTTATTAAACATTCAAAGATTCTTTCAGCAAGGATTATCAAACCGTGTTCAAGAAATTTGCAGAATATTAATAGTTGCATTATAGATTCAATTAATATGCTCCGACCGAATCTCATATCTGGGAATTTGGGTGAAGGCTTTGAAATTCCCAAACTAGATCCGTTAATAATCGATGAAATTAAAATATCGAATGGAAATGACTTACAAGCAAACTTTAAGAATCTATCAGTGTTCGGACCGAGCAACTTCAAAGTATTAAACCTTGAGTACGATCACTTTGATTTTCATAAATAATATAATTTAACACTTAATTTGTTTGTGTTTCTGCTTCTATAGAACGAACATCAAGCAAATGAGCTTCAGTTTCGATTTGGAACTACCTAATTTGGAATTTATTGGAGATTATTCTATAGCGTTAAGAATTCTCATAAAATTATCTGGAAATGGAAAGTTACAAGGAATGTTTAGTAAGTTCTTTACGTCATTAAAGTGGCTAGCCTCGATTAAAAAAGTTGAAGAAGTGACAAATTTCTAAGTGTCCACAAAAGCTATACACAAACATTTCTATAAATAACAATCATAAACATTTTATCGAGGCTCAAGGACTTCCGAGAATATAGAATTAATTTATCTCAAATATTTTTCAGAGAACTGTTTTACGCATGTTTCAGCTTCAGGGAAACTTACTGATGAATTTGACCACGTGGAATTTCAATTGGTAATTTAAAAAGAAATGATATTTACTGTCATTATTAATTAAATTTAAATTGCTAGAAAGTGAGAATGAAAGTCTCGTATGCGCAGTTTAAACTCGAGAATCTTTTTGACAACGATTCGTTCCTCAATAAAATTGGAAATAGAGTGATAAATGACAATTATGAAGTATTTCTCAACGAGTTAGTACCGGGTCTTGAAGATTCTTTAGGAACTATATTTTCAAGTACGTACTAGAGACTTTATAATCAAATGTTTCACATAATTTAAAGAAATTATTTACAGGAATTGTAAACAACATATTAAAGAATTCAACGTACAACGAAATGTTTCCTGAAAATTAGTAATTATTTGCTTATTATGTTCATATTTCATACCTTATTTTACCACGAGTAATTCAGTGCCAAATAAAATTTGTTAATTTATCCATCGTGCATGTCTGACATCTTTCTTCTTTTGTTTCATCTACTTCCGATTCACAAGTAACGAATAACCGCTGAGCAATTACCACACAGGCACACAGAGAGAAATGACAATCAACCAGTGCTCAGAGATCTAAGTAGCAATAGTTTAAGTTGCAATATCAAGTTTCAATAACCTTACTAGAAGCAACTTTTCATTAGCAAAGAGGAAGTAATCATATATCTCTCAGTGCGATGTTTCTCTCGGCATCGTCGTGAGCGATGAATCATATCATCGTTAATAGACATATATTGGCCGAAAAAAAAAATAAATAGTCTTATGAGCGCCAAAACTGACTTGATAACTTGTTGCCATTATACCCGCTAATTATTACAGATTTTCTTATATGTATTGACAATTAACATACACACTACTTCTTCTAAGAACAAAAAGCTTGAGTAAAGATTGATGTGTAGTTTTTGTTTATACTGCTCAGTGAGAATTTCAAATTAAGCCTTTTCATATTCAATCTTTTTGTGGTGTTGGTGTTGAATATAAAACAGAATTCGTCGTTTTAAAGCGTTAGTTATTATTTTGGAATCAATTCGTCAGTTGATCAGTCGGAGTGCGAAACAAACTAGGATTATTATTCTATTCTTAATACTTTAGTCATATAATTATTGAATTTGTGTTTTTTAAGAATAAGACCTCGTTTTACAGTTATTATAATAATAATCAATTAATTAGCACCAAAAAACAAATCACAATGAAGAATTTCGGAATAATACTCGGATTGATTACAATTGGATTAATAAAAAATAATGAGGCGAAACTTCGTAAGTTAATTTAAAGGGCATGTTCAGTGGTTCAGTTGATAGTGCAAATTTTATGTTTTAATAAATTCTTAGTGCTTCACTTATGTGGAAATAATAAATAATTAAAATGGTTTTTTATACAAGTTTATTCGTTACACCTGGATAGTGCTTGTGAATGTGATTTTAAATTTCAATTTTGAGATTAAAATGTTAAGTCATATGAGATTTCTAAAATGTCAATAAAATAAGGAAGATGGCAAAAAATTAGACTGAATTAAGTGCATCAACTGTGAAAATTCAAAATGTGTTAACAATTTCAATGTCACTCGTCACTAAGAATTGCTTTTGATAGACAACTTAAAATTGATAGTCCAGATTGAAGTTTAAAAATTGAATAAAAATAAAAAAATCATTCAAAATAATAAGACTCGTGCCACGATAAAAGAACATGCCGAGTCACCGCTGACATATAAATCAGACACATAACATATACGGAAATTCTTTTAATATCCTCAATATACTATTTTGTTTTCAGCCAAAAATATTCAAATTTGCTCAAGACATGAGCCTAAGCTTAGTGAATGTATTTTAAATTCAGTAAAACAATTACAACCGAGATTAGCATCAGGAAGGCTTGACGATGAGTTTGTTGTGCCAGTAAGATAAAAGCTCTCTATTATCTTTGTTCTTTTGTCGTATTGAAATAAATAACATATTCATATTTTTATTTTATTTTCTTCATAATGTAGGCGCTTGAGCCACTCGCACTTGACAAGTAAGTTTAATAGATGAACATTGTTCATTTATTTTTTTTTTTTATTTTATTGAAATTCCGCAAATCAATGTAGAAAAATTACATATGTGAAGCTTCAATGTCATTCTTCTTTTTTGAAGAAGATATTTTGTCAATAAACATTGTTCGCTGAAAAATTCCAAGAATTTAACATAAAAACGGGGCCGTTTGTTATTGACGTCTATCCAAAAAACGCAAAATGTAGTCTCCTTTACCCTTTTGTCACAAAATTTTATGATGCATATCATATCATTAAGTCTACTTATCACACGTGATTTGCGAACGTTCCCATAATATTGATTTGACTCGTTAAAGATGACAATAAAAAATTCTTAGAACCAATTGTAAACATTGCTGATGTATTAGGCAAATAAACACTTCAATGTTTACAAACTGAATGACTGTTCTAAAGCAACCAAGTACCAATATTTATTCTTCTTTTCTTTAGCATCAAGATGGAAAGTGGACAAGAGTTTAAGGCACACTTTACAAATTTACTAGTTCGAGGTCCTAGCAAATTCAATGTTGAAAAGCTAAGGTAAGGTAATGAGCATGCAACAATGCAGCAAAATGTGTGAATAGAATAAAATTAACGTAAATACTTACTTACCCATATTGATTTTGAATTGGGAAAGGTTATTTATATTCTGACTGTCATATTAATGTTATATTCTTTCTACTTTTTTTATTGCATTTTTATGGCGTAAAGAGTTAATTTGGATAACGCGACTTTCGAATTTATTATCTCGATTCCACGATTGGACTTTGTTGGAAAATACGGAATGAGATTGAAGATTTTACGTAAGTTCTTCTATTTTAAGCATTATAATTTGTAGAACAGCTGGACTAGATTCTCGATTTGTCACTTTTCACCTTTAAAACATTAGCAGATCAATGAATTAATTATCATAATTATTATTCAACGACCCCCAAATTTAAATTCTCAGGTGACTTCAGTATGATCATATGATGAAATGATAACTGAAAATGACATCTCGTGTCGTCAAAGCTATAATTAAAAATTTTAATCAATATCTATGTGCATATAATGCGTAATTGTTATAAATTAATTTGTTATTTTTTGTTTACAGTTCTCGAAATTTCCGGTAAAGGTGACATGTTAGGCCATATGGATAATTCAAGAGCACGTGTAAAATTACAAGCACATAAATATCAAAAGAATGGTCAAACATACATGAAGTTTGAGAAGTTGCAAATTAAAATTCAAATTGGAAAGAACTATATTGAACTTAAGAACTTGTTTAATGGTAAACTAGTCTTTGAATTTACATACTTAAGCAAATACTAATCTTCCCGTTATATATTTTTTGCTAATGCAGGTGATCCAAACTTAGGAAAAATTGGAAATCAGTTCATCAATGATAACAGCGATTTATTCTTACAACAAATCATTCCTGGTCTAGAAAAAAATCTTGCGGAAATTTTCACAAACACTGCAAATGATATCGTCGAGAATGCCAGTTTTGATGAAATGTTTCCTGATAAACCTGTATAAAAATATCAACAGTTGTGCATTGTGACTATTAACCTTTTTTTGTGATATTCAATATTTGAATTTGGCATCTACTTAATTCGGTTCTGCCTGATCGTTTAAATTTTGTATTCAATTATGACAAGTACTGTTCAATTTTGGTTGTCTTATCTTGTAATTTAGTTTCAATGTAATTTTATGTGGATGGAGGCAGTTTTAAGGAAATTACTTAAGTTGTAAATTTTATACAGAAAAAAATAAAAACAAATCAATAAAAAATAAATTTGTTCTTTTTTAATTTAAATTTATTTTGGCACAGATTTATTTGCAAAGACCATACAATGTGATTATAGATTGTATAAATTATCATGCTGATTATATTCACTAAACATTTTTAATCTCAAGCAGTGGCATTGAAGGATGTTATTCAACCGCAAAATTTATTTTAAATAATCATTTGGTCCATTCCAATTTTAAATTCTGCAGAATAGATATTGAATTAATGATTCAAAAACATATTTTTGAATTTTTAATATTTAAGATTAATTTAAGTTTTTAAGATTAATTTCAAAATAATATGAATTCACCATGACAAACGCAAGAACTTTTAAAATTCAATCTCAAATAGTATAAAGTAAAATGACAGAATAATGCGGAATCGATTTGGAATAATTAATATAATTTAAGATCATAAACATTGTATTATTAATTTTTATAATTATTACCCCCTCGTTTAAGATATTTTAATTGCTTAAACGCATCAAGTTTTGAATAATCCCTAACAGACAAAGAGCATGCTCACAATGAGTATGCTCACTTAAATGTACTGACTGAGTTAACTCGTGAGCATACTCAGCTAATATATTTTAGTGAGCATACTCATTGAGAGCATGCTCTTTGTCTGTTAGGGGTTAAAGCCTTGATTAGGTTTTAAAATGCATAGTAAAATAATTGACAGCACACTTTAAAGGTATTGATTAATTTTAAATAAATTGCAAAAAAATGTGCAAAGAGCTTTTTGGAGTCAGGTCATGCTTTCTATAAATAAGATATAATGTTTGTTTATACCGGCAAATACATGTACAGCTTGAACAGTGTAAAAGTATTCTTTCTTTTACTCAATTTTCTATCATTTAGGTTTGAGAATTCGAGAGATAAAGAGTTCAAAACAGAGTCGAAAAAAAATAAATTTTATAATATTCGGAACTATATCTTTGTTATCAAAAGCTTAATACAGTGCAATGTCTATAGTCTATGGAAAAGATAAACATCCATACATAGATTTAGGTCAAAACTATAGAATAAGTTTGAACTATACAGATATTTTGGATGAAAAAGACTTAGCTTTAGCCAAAGAAGATTTGCGAGAAACGCCAGAAATAAGAGAGCAAGCATTAAAAGAATTGAGAGAATTAATTGAAGGTCAGTAAAACGAATGATGCCGAAAAGAATTAAAATACATGAAGATTGAAATCTTTACTTCCTCTTGATATCAGGTGAAAAAAATTTTGTGCATGCAACAGAAGATTTCTTCCTTTTACCTTATCTACGACCATGCAAATTTTATGCAAAAAGTGCATTCGAAAGGATGCAATCAATCTTCAAATTTAAGCTGAAGTACAAGAAATATAACGATAATTTAACTGTCGAATCTGTTCGCAATATCATTGAGGATGGGATTTTCAAGTACACACCATTATGTGACAAAGATGGAAGGAGACTCGTGTTAATTCAATGTGGAAGTGAGTTATTAAATTGTTTCGTGGCATTTAACTCAATTATAATTTTGACATAAATCATTAGAGAATTGGAAGCTAGATCGTGGCAATAAGTATGAATTATTCCGATGCATACAAATAATATTTCAAGCTGCTGCATTAGAACCTTTGACTCAGGTGATAACAAGTCCCTACATTATATCTCAAAAACTAATTCCATATATTTTTAAATTTTAACTTTAGATCTATGGTGTTAGGTAAGACTACATTCGCAGTAATAGTCACAAACAAAATTCTACAATTTAAATTCCAGTTTGATTCTTGATTTTGGAGGCCTGACAATGGATCAGGTTTTCCATTTTACTCCATCATTTGCAACAATGTGTCTAAAATGGGCACATGACTGCTTGCCTCTCAGACTCAAACAGGTATACATTGTGAACAATTCTAAAATTTTCAATGTGTTTTGGGCACTTTTCGGACCATTCCTATCAGCGAAACTAAAAGAGAGGGTTTGTAGTTGGAATTTTATTTTTTTCAAATATTAATAAAATTTTTTTCATAGGTTCATTTCATGAACCAACAGTATGATGATTTAGCAGTGCATTTGGGGAAAGAATGCTTAGGGAAAGAGTATAATGGATCCTTGCCAGTTGAACATGTTGACGGAAAAGTTCTATTGGACTATTTGAAACTGCATGAACGTCAATTTGAATGTAAAGTATAGAAAATTTCATTTTGAAGTCATTCACATATTTTGACTTTCAGTGGTGAATATTTCTGGATATATCGATGACAATGACAATGTTGATGAAAGAAGGAATAAGGTCAATGTCTGCGCAAAAGAGATATTAAACTCAATCAAATGTCAGTGATCTTTTAATAATCCTTGTATTTTATAAATAAATATCAGCTTAAATTTTATCAGATAACAAAAGTTTATTTATAAAATGCATTTTTAAGTTAAATTTTTCTTCAACAGATGTAGCAAGCAGCTCTCTGTTTACTTTCTTGTGTCTGTTACTTAAAAATAAAATGTTTTTTTTTTCAATTTCAGTCTAGTGACAGAACAACTTCATGCATTAAAACTAAATACCATTAAAGTTAAATTTTTTAAATCCATTTGGATTTTCAGTTTAAAGGTTTTGTCAGTTCCTATATCTTGTAAACACGTTTACATTTTGATGATAAAAATAACATTTGTGCAGAAAATATCGATTCTATTTTCAGTTTGATTTGAGCAATTGCAATAAAGACTTGACATAAAGAAAAGCTCCATTTATTGTAAAATATTAGCAATGTCTATAGCGTATAGTGACAATAAACTTCCTTATATAAACTTGGGTCAAAATTATAAAATTTCCTTTGACTATGGAAATATTGTTGATCAAAAGCATTTAAATAAAGCACAAAAAGATCTACGAGAAACGCCGGAAATAAGAGAGCAAGCTCTAAAGGAAATGAGAGAATTGATAAAAAGTTTGTATTAATTCAGTGAAAATGTTCAGTTTTTAAAAATGTAAATCTCTTTATCCTTCTTAGGTGAAAAGAACTTGGTTTATCCATTAGAAGATTTCTTTTTATATCCATATCTTCGACCATGCAAATTTTATGCAAAAAGTGCATTTGAGAAATTGCAGAAGGATTTAAAGTTTAAATCAAAAAACAAAGAAATTTTTGCGAACATTACAGTGGAATCAGTTCGTAATCCATTTGAAGATGGTGCTTTTAAATACACTCCATTGTGTGATAAAGATGGACATAGGATTCTTTCGATCCAGTGTGGAAGTAAGTGCACATTTTTAAATGTGAGTAATTATTAAAATAATATCAAAATTTAGAAAACTGGGACTTGGATCGAAGCCTTAAATATGATATGTTTAGAGCTGTGGAAATATACTTCCAAGCTGTGGCAGCAGAACCGATGACACAGGTGATTTTCTTTAACCAAAAGTTATAAAGTCATATAATTATTATCATTATTCATTAATTATAGATTTATGGAGTAAGGTAAGACTTTGAAAATTTGTTAAAATATGTAAAATATTAAAAATATAATTTTAATACCGGACTTTTGGTATAGCATTTTATTGGATATGGAAGGACTAACAATGAACCATGTCATGCAAATGTCGCCATCATATGCAGCCATAATTTTAAAATGGTTACAAGATTGTCTTCCACTTCGATTAAAGAAAATTTATATTGTGAACAATTCAAAAATTTTCAACATTTTTTTTGCTATTTTTATGCCAATTCTTGCTGGAAAATTGAAGGAAAGGGTTCATTTCATTAATCAAGATTATGAAGCTTTGGTAAAATTTATGGGAAAGGATTGTTTGACTAAAGAATATGGTGGGGATTTGCCTGTTGACTATCCTAGTGGAACAGTATTGGTTGATTTCATGAAATTACATGAGAAGCTATTTGAAAGTTAGTTCTTAAATTATTCGGATTGATATTATTGAATTAATTTTTGTTTTTGTAGTTAAAAATATTTCAGGTTATTGTAATGAGAAGGACAATATTGAAGATAAAAGGAAGGAAGTGAATGCTTGCGCTGAGGAAATATTAAAATTTATTCAAACATCCAGCAAATAATCATACATTAATAAAGAAAAACTCTTAAGCACAAAATATATTCTTTTTTATTCCCAGGTAGTCAGTTTAGATCTACAAACTTAAATCTTTGTAAGTTTAAGAAAGCTTAAGTTTTCAAAAGCCCCAAAACTTTTGTACAGTTTTAAATTGAAAGCTTTCATGCTTTTCACATAAATTTAAACGAGCACATTGCAACTGTTGCTTCCAAAAAATATATATTTTGCAAGAGTTTAACACTTCCAGTGTTCATCAACCGTAAATACCATAATTTTCAAGTACACATTACAAACTTAACATTTTCAAGCCGGCAAATACATTCAAGCTTTTAATTGTATAGTAATATTCAAGCTTTTACTATTCTCATTGTCAGTTTGGTTTCAACCGTCGTGTACACTAGACATAAAATAAAACAAATGAAATAATTCATATAAAAGTTCTGTGTTATCGAAATAATTAAGGATTAATAATATTAAGTCGGTGCAATGTCTGTTGTTTACGGTGATGATAAGATACCATACATAGATTTAGGAAGTGATTATAAAATTCGTCTGGAATATGAGGACATTGTTGATGAAAAATACTTGACGAAGGCCAAAGAGGAATTAAGAGAAACACCGGAGAATAAGGCACAAGGAATAAAGGAATTAAGGGAATTAGTGCAAAGTTAGTAAATAAATTTGTTAAAAAATAATTATTGACTGCTGCATGATTAATCAAACCAAGGCTTATCCTTAGTTGTTTCCCAATATAACGGTTCGAATGTAAATATATAATATGAAGCAAGTAAAATCTTGCAATTCCGACTTAAACAACAAGAACATTTAGATTACGTTACATTTTCAAGGTCCAATTGAACTAGTGTCTCAACCTTAATGTTTGTTTTAAACATTATTTCGCTTATGTGTGCTGAGGAAAGAATCTGGATTAATATATAGGCTTATCACAAATGAAAGTGAATGTGCATAGCTGCAGTGAATCTTTATTGTGTTCACATTTGAATGAAAATAAACTTGACCTATTGTTGTAAGCGAAGAAATTGGAATTACACTAGACGTAATTGCAAACCAGTTTTCTTGAAAAAAATATTACCACATTTATTCATATGAGTAAGTGTACATATGTTCGAGAAATGGCATTGAAAACGAGAAATTTAATTTTATTTATTTTTCCTACACTTCAGCTATTTTCCGATTGGACAATTTTGTGACTTAACCTTTTTCAACTTTTATTTGTGAAAGAAATTAAACCACCTTACTTAATTAATTAGAAACAAAATCCTCATTTCGAAAAATAGGCACTAATTTGAAAAATTCATGACTTAACTGAGGTCACACATATTTAACAGTGTTGAAAATTAATTTATTTTAATTAACAACTCTTTTTGTTTCTTTTTTTTTGTGAATTAGATGAGAAAAACTTTGTACATCCAATGGAAGATTCATTCCTTGAAACATATTTAAGACCATGCAAATACTATGCAGCAAGTGCTCATCAAAAAATGCAAAAATTCTTCAAGTTTAAGGAGAAGCACAAGAAGATCTGTGAAAATATAACAGTTGACTCAATTCGGAATGTTCTTGAAGATGATTTGCTGAAATATTTGCCTTTGCGTGACAAGGAAGGAAGAAGAATCCTTTACATTCATTCCGGAAGTAAGTTCATTAAACTTAATTTTTGAAACTTTTAACTAAAAGCTTATTAATTATTAGAAAATTGGAATCCACAACGAGCTAGCACACATGACTTGTTTCGTGCAATGCAATTAAGTCTTCAAGCGGCAATGGCTGAACCAATGACTCAGGTGAAGTATCTCTTTCATTTAAATCTTGTGTATTCTTTGAATCATCAGTTTTAAAAATAAGTTTGACAAATTTAAATTTTAAAGGATTAGAGACTAAACTTTTTTTTGTATATCCAATGGTATGGTTAAATCATGTTTGTCAAAAGTAAATTTAGTCTTTGAGATAATTTTAAAAGACAAATATTGCAAGAATGAGTATGCACATTAACGTCATCGGACTGTATTTAGATGACTTTTCAAGTTTGAAATCCCAACGTTATCTTATCAATTAACACTTACAGCTTTAACGGATTTAAAGATGATTCAATGATTTTTGTACCCAAAATTTGATTTTTTTTTTCTTTTTTTTTCGTCTGTTTCAACATAAATGATTCTTTTTTGCTGCTACCAGGTCAACGGCGTTTGGTAAGAAAACTCAATTATCGATTTTGTAATTCCCAACTTTTTGTTCTTTTTTATTCGAGTAAATAATGCATGAAACATTTAATCTGATTTTTTTGGTAATGACTTGATATTTTCAATTAATTTGAATTTCAAAATGAATGATGAAAACTTATTGGCACAACAAAATTAAATTTAAATTAAGTTCTAGTCAGGAATAATTATCAAAAAGTTGTTTCCGGTGACATCAATTTAATTTCATGTCAGCCTTTACTAATGAATCTAATCTGCTGTTAATCTTAAGTTGGAAATCACTATGCAACTACAAGTTAATATTCTTAATTATTTATAGTGCAATCGTAGATGTTGAGGGATTATCAATTGGTCAAATCATGCACTTTACACCATCGTATGCAGCCATGATTTTAGAATGGACCCAAGAATGTATACCTATTAGACTGAAGCAAATTTATATTGTGAACAATTCGTATATTTTCAACATGCTTTTCGCAATTTTCAAGCCATTCATTTCGGCAAAGTTGAGAAAGAGGGTAAGCATCTTGAAAATGACAACAATTGCGAATTATTTTAATTAATTATATGCTTTATTACTTTATTGCGTCATGTCTTGGTAGATTCACTTCATTAACAAGAAATATGATGTTTTAACTGACCAACTTGGCAAATTCTGCTTAAGTGAGCATCTTGGAGGAGATTTACCTGTTGATTATGTTGATGGAAAGGTTTTAGCTGATTTATTGAAGCTATTTGACACGCAATTTGAATGTAATTGGGACATTTTATTGATTGATTTTTTATGCATTAATATTTTGGCATGTTTTTCAGTGATTGGCATTTCTGGTTACGTGAGTGATGAGGAATATGAAGAAAGGAAACAAAAAGTAGAAGAAGGGGCCAAAGAAGTACTAAACTACATCTCACCCAAATGAAAATCTGACTTTTTGAAGCATTTCGAAACTTATTTCAATTGGATGAGAACTTGAATTAATTAATAAATTTTTTTATATGAAACGCAATTAATATCGTTTAATAAATATGTGCAATTTATTATAATAATCTTGTTTTTAAGTTTTTATTTTACATACTATATTCTGGAATACATCAGCTGTAACAATTAGACAAATAATTGCAGCTTGAAGTTACTTGACTTATTTTAAAAGCCATTTAACTCTTAAAATTAATGCTATAATAAATAAGCATCAAATTAAACTCAATTCTTAAGACACTTAACATCCATGACCTATCTCAATTAATTCTTAGTTGCACTTTATAGAAATTCTATGTGGAATTGGACAGATGTTGGATTAAATACAAATTTGCATGATTCAGCAAAAATAATCATTCATATTGGAATTTTGAATCAGAAGACGGATTTAATAGCCACACTTACGTCATTAGATCTCTATTGGATATTGATGTTTACATTTTCCTTTATTAATTAACACGAATTACTAAATGAGCTTCAAAAGCACTTGTAGGATTTCATCAATTCATACGAAAATTGTCGATTTCTGTTCAAAAAACAAAGTTCGAATGTAAAATGTTCATTAATGAATAATTTTTTTGTGGGTATTTGGTTTGTGCTTATTACTTAATTATTTAATTGATTTTTTTGCTGTCGATGTGATTTCAGCTAAAATTATTGATTTTTTTGCGTATCACAAAAATTAAAAACTGATAATTTAGCTATCGGCTATGACTTTGGATAAAATCATCATCAAGGATGAAACACTTTAATAATTTCTTAATTTTGAGGCTCAACAAAACATTTATTTGTGTTTGCTCACATTTTTAACAATCTAATTCAATTATCTTTTATATGAAAACGTATAGCAATGAGATCGACGACTATATGCATGCACAAATTAAAATTTCATAAATACAAGTGTCACTTAATTTGAATAAATATTTGATATAATGTGCACTGCCAATTCTCGGATCATTCTAGAACTGTAGCATAGCGCATAAAATTGTTTATAAATTTATTTTTATTAATGATTATTGTGATAACAAGTTTCATTCGGGAAGTTTGTGATTTCCAGCTATTTACTATTTAATTTGAGAGGTTTGAATAGTCATCGATGCTTAAAAAGCTTTCAAAAGCTCATTTTAAATTTTTAAAACCCGTTAATTTTATTTTGAATTTTTCATTCCATCGACTTAATGATTTTTGAAATATTTCTAGAGAACCATTTCATGCCTGAGTTCCCAAATGTACAATTAACAAATCAATTTTGATATTTAAGATAGCATCAACCGACCCAATGATTTTTAAGAAATCCAAGAAATAAATTACCAATACACCCACATGAGAGATCATTTAAAAGGAACTAAATGTGAAAAAGGATATCGTAATGTCAGAAAAGTGAAACAATAGAAGCACTTTTGGAAACAGCAAGAGATTTATGACCCTCATATACTCAAGAAATACAACAATTTCTTTTATTTTTATTTGACTCAGGTTGAAAAAAAAATCATTTACAGGACAAACAAAGTTCTGATTCAATGCTGTCGATTTTCCAGATACAATATTGTCTATCTTTATGAAGTATAACTTGGCACTTCATCAACAACAAAAACGAACGAATAGAATTAAGGTGAAAAATTCTTTTTGTGAATAAACAGGATGTTCCATTGTGTATACTTGTCTTAGTAATTTCTTTTGCCATACTCTTCTATCCATTCTTCTATTCTACTCTTCTCTTTATACCTTCTCAATTTTTCAAAAATTGTTCTTTTGATTTTGATTTTATTTTTTTTTATTTCGATATGAAAAACTTCTTTTTTTGATACTTTTTTTTTATTCTTCATGTTAACAAGATTCGATGCCCTTCTTTATGTATGTCCGCATAATAGATTAGAATCATTTTGCCATCACTTGAGGTTATTTGAGGTTTTTGGCTTCGAAATTGAAGAGCTGCTACTTAGTATTAAGTAATCGTCGTGTAAATCTTCGGTACATAATCAAGCACAGAAATGATATCGATAAAATCTACCGTTACAATGTTCTAACGTCGCTTTTAAAAGGCATCATAATTAAATATTAATTATCTTCTTTTATTAACCTATCGCATTGAAAACAAAAGAAGTGATTAAGCAAAGATGGAAGGTACGAACAATAAAGCTTAGTAAGGTAGGCACTGTTCTTTTGGAAAGTTGAAGCTAGTAAGCATTTCTACTGGATACAAATTGAGTAATGCGGATTTATTGATAAATTTTGTAATTTCAATTATCAAAATCCAGCGATCAATTTTCTGCGAAATTCAAAGACAATAACAGCAAATTCCATTAGCCTGCCAGCCAATTAAGCATCAGTAATCACAACTTTTACCAAAATAACAATTCCAAAGAAGAATTTCAATGAACAACGGATGATTTTTAAGATTTGGATGAAATTTACGTTTCTTCTTGTTCCACATTACTTTTTAATGTGTCATAAATGACGAGTTATATTATACTTAAATGCGAAATCTATGTACGGTGTGTGCTAACAAGTTTAAAGGAACTGTCATGATTTACGTTTATTTCTTTAAAATAATAATTTAATATGCTGTGATTTAATGGCTATTATTATTATTATGCACTCAGTTGTACCTTGGACAGGATTTCGAATGAAAATTGATACGTGAAAGTATTTCAACTTTACGTTTAGAATTTTTAAAATGTTCCTTTAAGAAATTAAATAACAAATAAATATAAATATACACACATAGTCTCTGCATACGAAAACATAGTTGGTATCATCAAATATGTAAATTTTTATATTTTTATATTTTACTTTATAAAAAGGAAGAGACGAGAATGGAAATTTGAAAAGCTGAAAGAGTCATTTTAATTATCGTATTCATGTGTTTGAACGCTTCTTAGAATTTCTCGATCATTTTAGGAGCCTCTTTCTTATCTCATCTCAAAATTATTTTTTATATAAAGTAAAATTCAAGAAATGAGGCAACGACAAGTTGAGTGTGTTGGTTAAATTATTTTAATAAGATTCGCGGTGCAAGAAATTTATGTAATAACTCGTGACTGTTTCTGAATTATTTCATTTATTTTACTTCTTCCTGTAGAAATATGAAATGTTTCTTATTTCTTGAATATTATTATGTGAATGCATTATATGTGATACTTTTTAAAAAGCTGAATCATGCCTTGGTACTTACGTATTACTAGTTAGCATAAAAGAATCTATTATTCAATTTTTACAGATTAAAGGAATGAGTTGGAATCATTTTAATGGTAATACACTTAGTTGACTAATTTCTGATGAACAGGGTTGAATACTAGCTCAGAATCTACTAAACTGTGATTAAACTGAAAAAGATTTTGCCTAATTACAGTCATATCACAAATTCTAACCCTGTTCATGGATGCTATCGTCAATTGCTGGATTAAGGAAGTGGTTTTAAATCACGTATACTGAATGTACTGGAAATATAGCACAATCCATACGCAAGCCCTAAAAAGCCACAAAAGATAGATAACAAGAATTTAATTCGTTGACAATTACAGGATTCATCGGAATTTCCAATTTCATTGGAATGTCGGTGACAACATGTGGACTTACATTATAACGGGTCGAGTAATATGGAAGTTCAAGCAAGTTCAACAAAGGAATCCAAAAAAGAGGCATGAAATCGTCACAACAATAATTCCTAATTGATGATCCTTTTACAATGTAGAATATATTTTGTCGAGCGGCATTCCTGAGAAATGCTTTAGAAGAGCTTGTAAGGAAATGGTAAAAGAAAAATGTATGATTCGATTCGTCATTCTTCTCAGATACTAACTTTAACACTCAAGAGAGATACGTATATAATAGGAAGTATAAATCCATAAACAGTAATGCAAACACAAAAGTTCTATCAACAATAGTAAGATGAAGAAGTACGAGAAAAATGTCAATAAGTTTTTTATTTGCTGTTCAACGATGAATCTCGACATAGTCACCTACAAAAACTGCACTGTAAATGTCTCATGCCTTAAAATAAAATGTCACAATTATAAAATATAATTGTTACATGACTAAACATTATAAAAGCGCGACTGATTTTCGGGGTCATTCATAAATCATGTCCAATGTTTTAGGCTTCCTTCCTAGGTATGCCTTTGTGACATTCTAAAGTGGAGGGATTTTTAAACCTGACAAAGGAAGCAGGGGAATATAAATTCAAACGAACGTCATCTACGAACGATCCCCCGACTATCACACAGCTATTTTACATTTCAGACAATAAAACTTAAGACGATTGAGTTCGTGTGATAAAAAAAGTCTCATTTTAAAAAAAAACAGAAGTGTGATGATAACGGAAGCGTCATTAGTAAGCGACCCGACAGATATTTTTTTTCGTGTTATTTCTCCGAAGATGATTTCATCGTATTTTTAAATAAAGTAAAATAAAAATCTGCACAAAAATTTATTGTACACACAAATGGCAGCAATGAAGGGTTACACATACATATAACGGAAGTAGAAATAATTTGACGATGATGAAAATCTACGCATATGTTCAGAGATTACTTGCTCATGTTGTTCTTTAGCGCAAACAGTAAATGAAAGACATGCATTAATTACAAATTTGCTTTACAGCAGCAAGCAAGCAACTGAAAAGAAATAAAATCATTTTCGTTACGATTGAGGAATTAAATGAAGGAAATGATAATTTAAATATTATTATTTTTTAGTTCGGTTACACTTGAAGAAGAGTTTTTCAGCGTGACCATCATGTGAAATTATTTTCTGAATTTTCTTACATGTCCATCAGTTTCCGACATTTCATAAAAAAAGAAAAAGAAGAAGAGAAAATTAGTCTGTATGTTAGATCGAGTATAGAACCGCATCACATCATAAAAATATCTCATATTATTATTAGAGGAGATGAAAATGTGAAACATTTACTTGCTTAGTATTACATCAACAAGGAAATAACAAGAACTATCGTTTATTATAAATCTTCATGTAGAGGTTTCGTTAGATGCGGTGCATGTAATAGTTATAAAACATTTCGCTCAAACTGTTTCATAATAGCATTGCCGTTTTTTTTTCTAACATATATATC